GGTGGAGGGGAGTTTATTGATCGATGATGTGCTGAGGAGGGGATGAAGTTTGGAAGGGTTGTGCGGGCTTGGAAATTGCGGGCTCGAGTTTTTGGAATCGGAGAAATTGTATGTGTGTGTGATAGAGAGAGAGAGATCGGGAAAGACCCATTCTCAGAGGAGAATGGAAGGATAGGAGCAGACAAGGACACGGAAATGTGGGGCGCGCAAGCAGCAGCAGCAAACAGAGTCTGCCCTGCCTCCCCAAAAATCAGGATCGGAAACCAGAAGCCAGAAGCCAGAGCGAATCAAGCGTAACCGATTCTGACGAGAATGACCCGTAACATCAGTGGTCTGCCGTACCAGGAGAATGCCTATGGGAAGAATATACATGCATAGAGAGAGAGAGACTACAAAACGTACATACATCCATACATATCTATCTACCTACCTACCTATCTATCTATCTATCTATCTATCTATCTTGATCAGCCCCCCCCCCACACACACACACACACACATAATATGCCCCTGCACCTATACCAGAAACAATTCAAGAACAACTAGGAGACGCCAAACACACGCAACCAGGATCACGGCGAGGCCAGTTCTCGATTGCTTTCTTTTTCTTTCTCTTCCTGCTTGAGAGGAGCAACGTAGTCTAGAAACTGGACCGAACGAAGCGGAATCTTACTCGCAGTGTTCGTGTTTGTGTTCAAAATGTTCCGATATGTCTCAGAATAGAAGGGAATTTATCCATTTCTTTCCTGAGAGGCTTGTGGATGTGGATGTGGATGTGGATGTGGATGTGGATGTGGATGTGGATGTGGATGGTTGCACATTGTAGTTCGTTGGTGAGATATATATATGTGTATATTTATAGGATCGGTGAGGTCCTGACTCCTTCCTTCATTTCTTCAAAGGCTGATCTTCCTTCTTCCGCCGTGGTTTCCACAGGTGGGCTACCAGGTAAAGGTTTAGAGGATCGGTGCTCAGATCCGACCATGACAGAGCTCTCCTGACTAGTTACTATACAGCGAGGGTGGTATATGACACCGGTGGGGAGGAGATATCACTTCAGCTGGCTGACTGACGCTTCATGTTTGACGATATGGAATATGGTCAGGCCAGCGGCCGCCATGGAGTCTTTATGTTGCTGGCACGATCCTTTCGTAGCGCGTCCGGTGTGTCGCTGTTCTATCCTTTTGGTCTTCGCTCGAATAAGATAAATGCGGGAATGCCGTTTGTTGGGATGCTTCGGCCAAATCTGAGACTGGTGTAATCTCACGGCAGGAATACTGGCAGAGACCAGCTCTGCTTCCATTGGTAGTTCGATTAACTTTGTAACGGTGGAAGTAGATAGATGGTGGGGCTAAGTTGTCCGAAACGTAGCGCGGTTTTCTTTTTGGTCTTCTTCCGGCAGAGACTTATCTTGAAAAGAAAGGTCTGGCTGGGCTTTGGGCAAAAAATAAGATGCGCCATTTTTTCCTGGCTCCCTTCAGAATTTTCAACGCCTTGGAGGCTCAAAGTCGACGTTGGAGATTAGGCGGAGGCAGGAACAACTTCAGTTGCGATCCCAGCAGCCACTTCAACAAATGATGGGTGACGACTTACAGAGACAGGGAGCTAAGGTCTTTGTCTGCTCCGAGGGTTTGATCGATGGTGAGATGATTTCTCATCTCAACCACACCTGCTCAAAGACACCCGCAAGCGGCTTCTGGCCTCTGATCTCCTCCATATAATGCTCACTCACATTCGTCACCATCGGACTCCATCGTCCAAACCTCGTCTTGGCCCAATCCAGACAGAAATAATGCGTGCGGAGAAACTCTGGAGGTTGCCGTCGAGACGGGTTCGATCTCCACCTCGTTTCATACAACGTGGGACCTAGCGCCAAGATTTCGAGCGCAGGTCTCGCACCTCCAACCAAGGATGGAAAGACCCACTCGATAAATTTGGAAACATACTCTCGAATCGAATAATCGCCTAGTTGGCTCAAATGCGTGCACGTGGGGAAATTCCGGATATGGATCGTCTTTAACGTTTTGAGCGTTGGTAGACTCGTCTTTCCCAGACGGACGATCTCATCGTTCCATGGAAAACCGGTGCCGAGTTCTTCTAGGTTCGGGCATAGTTGACAGATGTCTTCGATGGTGTCTTGCCAGAGCACTTGGGTGTACGCACCCGCGCCGAAGGGACGAGAGGTATCGAGACCGAGATTTTCACGCGGTTGGATGCGGCATTCGAGGACTAACGTCTTGAGGGTGACACCGTGGTTGGGAAGGAAGCTGCATGGTCGATCCAAGAACGTGGCGTTTTCGAGTAGTAAAGATAAGGTTTCGAGACCGGTGAAGGAGGAGAGGAAGCGGCTCAGAGCGGTCTTTAGTTGAGGCGACGGAGCTTCGTGTCTGAGAAGAAAGTGCTTCAATTGTGCCACCCTCTTGTTCAGGAAAGAGGACTTTTGAGCTTCGTAGAAAGTAGCGACTAAGCTATGCAACAGTTCTGCAGTCCCGCTGCATGACTCTAGAGTCAAGCGTTTCAAACCAAAAATGAAGCTCGTGGGGTTGGTGGATCCCAAGAACAAAGGCGACAGGTTTAGACCATAGAAGCAGAGCTCCTCCAATCTGTGCATTTCCTGAAATCGTACAATAGTCAACAACAACTCCAGAGGTTGAACGGTCTGTTCTTGAAGGCCAGTACGATCCAGACGGTAGCGATCAACAAGCGCTTTTTCTTGTCCCAACCTCAAGGCTTTCAGCGTACCGCGGTTGGCTTTGGCGATCCTACCAAGAGCCTTGCCTTCCATAATGGATCGACATTCAAAGACTTTCAGACTTTGCGGTAGGAGTCCGCCCGGTTTGCAGACAGCCTCGAGTTCGTACACGCGCAATTCTTGAAGTGTGGCATTTTGATGCCGGATCAATGATTGGAGAACTTCATATGGCAGAGCGGACCGGTGCAGAAAGCTGCGTAGGCATGGTAAGCCCTTGCCATCAACTGGTGAAATTAAAGGACACTTTCACGTACGAAAAGGCGTATAACTGGCTCACCGGGATACGATGGATTATACCGCAAACGTAAGCCTCGAGAGACGCCACGTCAGGGCGTAGTCTCCGATGGGATGTTGGGTTCTGTTGGTGAAGATATCCATTGCGGATTGTGAGTCGCTTGATCGACCGAATAGCGTCTGTTCGAAAAGGAGGCAGCGCTTGAATGTCCCAGCCCATACCCCTGTTCTGCGGTATACTGATATCAAAATCCTTGTACAGGGCCCGCATCGTCATAGCTTCGAAGGTGCGGCACGTCAAACACAAATTCAAAAGATCGTGACGCGCAGAAAGCTGATAGGTGTGAGTGGTAAAGTGTAGGTGTATGTAAGCCGCAACACTGACCTCATTGATAATCTGTAGTTTGAGCTCGTCCGCTAATCTGACAAGCGCAGAGGTGTGGGAACTATCATGGTATGCCATTCCTAGGCAATTGTTCGACTTGATTACAGTTGCTAGGGCAGCAGTTGTAAAGAGAGACACGAGCTCAAGAACGAAGGAAAATATAAAATGCAAAGAGAACATAAAACTTTTGTCCCAAAAAAGTTGTGTCCATCATTATGGGATCAAGCTTGGTACTGAAAGGGAGGAGTTCCATAAATATCCGACTGACGTACCTTCATTTGAGGACATGTGAAATATTCAGCCTCACAGGAATCCTGCCGTTCAGCTGCAAGGGTGCAGTGATGATTTAGACATGCGCCTAGTGATTTAGGATCCGAGCATTCGATAGGCATCCATGGTTGCAATTTAGCATATGGCTGTCTTCTTCCAGAGGATCCGAATGAAGCAGGAATTTGGTCATGGAGAAAGATTCAGAGTGAACGATGGGGGTTGGATGAATCGGCGTGATCGCCAGGAGCGCTCCTACATATGCAGTCTTGGCCTGAGATCAAATTCACGTCTGTCACTCCGTTCGCAACGATGAATTTAAGCTCGTTACCGTACTTGTCATACCAACAATGGCAGGAAGTAGATGCCACAATGATAGTGAGGCGTTTCGACTGTATACTTGGCCACGTATGTGACATAGTAAGCTCCTTGAGAGTCTCACTTACCTTGTACTGCTCTTCGATAGAATGACTCGGCAATGGAAACAACGGTCTGATGGGCCCTGGAGCCTTCAGTAGCTGGTTCTGTTCCTACAGAGTGCACATAGATATTAGTTGTTCTCCCTCCAATAGGTGCTCGTATCTAGCTATGGTAACTCAGCAGACTCGTTCTCCCGCACATGCGAAGCTCATCCCGATGTTTGCAGCTGGGAACATACGACGATAGTGCGCTTCATTCTTCATTGTAGTATTCGATCTAAAAGCATGCAATTTCCTGAATTGGTTAGATCAAACCTTTTGCCACATGCAGTTCTTGGCGGCATTGACGACGACGAGGTCTTCTCCGCGGTCGCATCCACGTCACAGATGTTGCAGATCTTGAGATCTTGAGAAGACTGATCACTTCTTAAATCGCTAAGGACAGCCACGATACAGTGATTACAGGATAGGCGTCATTTGGTATAGCTTACAGCGTGGTTGCTGAAAGGTCTTATGCAATCTATTGAAATGGCTCTGTGTCGAACGTTGCTGACTAATCAGGAATATATCACGTGACATCCGGTCCACACTCTGTAAAGAAAATTGACATGTTCGGCAGGCTGCCTAAAGATCCCTCTTCTTGGAGCGTATGAAGTCGAGGAGATGACTGATCTAGGAAATTGTGGAACAAATCTTATGCTCTCGTACAGCACAATTCTCTGAATGTAAGGCCATCGAATTTTCTACTCCTTAGAGAGCCTCGTGCACTATTGTGCATGGAAAACTGCCTTCCTAAGGTACTCGCCTGGCATAAATTAGAATAATGACATCAAAGGTCATGCCATGTCAAATGATCAGAGGGCATGAAGGACACCAACCTTATACGGGTGTTCGCAGCCTCGCTAGCGCGCCATGAGCTTTCAGACGAGGACTCTCGTAAACCAGCCAATGCCATCACACTGGCATGGGAACGTGATGGCTCGCGTGACCGATGCATGTTGTCAGTGCATTGGTCAACATCTACGAATGCCTACAGCGCGTAGGCGAGCAGCCCCACAACTTGCCTCAATTTCACACAAGTCATTCGAAGCCTGGCTGACAATTGCCTTGAATGCTGTACAGAGACCTTGGATTTCCCCTAAGAACAATTTCCCTTCAAGATGAGTGCAAATCTGCGGCAAAGCAAACCGAGGCTTCTGCTGATGGGCCAGCGTCGGTAAGGTTCCAAGGTCAGCCTGCGGCCTCAAACAGCGCTGAATTTACACAGGAGTGGGAAGTCTTCCATTACCAGTGTAGTCTTCCATAAGATGCCACCGCGAGAGACCCTATTTTTGGAATCCACTACACGTATACAGAAGGACTCTATGCAGTGAGTCATGTCCTTCAAACGAGCTTTACATCTATTTGTGCGCTTCGGAAACGTTTCTATTCTATTTCGAACTGTCCTCACAACCTACAGTTCCTTCATGGACTTTCAAGTATGGGACTTTCCTGGGCAGCTTAACTACTTCGATCCTACCTTCGACAGAACAGAAATCTTCTCTGAAATTGGGGCATTAGTATGGGTCATCGATGCTCAAGACGATTACACCGACAGCGTCACACGACTTACCGCCTCCGTTGCCAACCTCCAAGACATCTACCCCAACATCAACATCGAGGTCTTTGTGCACAAAATCGACGGCCTTAGTGACGAATATAAGTCCGACACATTTCAAGACATTAGACAGCGAATCGAGGACGAGCTAAACGATCATGGCTACAAGAATCCTCCTGTCAGCTACCATCAGACCTCAATCTACGACTATAGTATCTTCGAAGCGTTCAGCAAAGTCATTCAAAAACTAGTGCCTCCCCTTGCCACCCTGGAGAATCTTCTGAACATCCTTGTCAACAACAGCGGAATGGAGAAGGCATATCTCTTCGACACCATGAGCAAGATCTATGTTGCCAGTGACACACGCCCAATCGATATGGAAGTCTATGAGATGTGTTCAGATTATATCGACGTGATCCTCGACATCAGCGAGCTCTATTCGTACCCAAGATCGGAATCAACTAGGCTCGGTCCACAAATGGTTGAGACGGAGTCGAGTGTAACCATACATGATGGCACTATGATATATTTGAAGGAGATGAACAAGTACGACGCCGCATTGGATGACCATGTCTTGCCGGAGTATGCTGATGATATCGCAGATATTTGTGCCTGGTATCAGTGATCAAACATCCCGATGCCAAAGACAAAAAGGGATTGCTGGATTACAACGCTCACATCTTTCAAGACGCTTTGAATGAGGTTTTCGCTCGTGGCTGGGAGAAGCAAGAGAATGGGGAAGCTGCCAAGGAGCCAGCAGAGCATTAATTGTAACGAAATATCTTTGTGTATTGTCTTCTACCTACACGAGCCTGAGCTCAAGCTTGCCATCATTCAGTGGCGCGAGATATAAATTTCCAAGCTTCGTGCCTTCCGTTGATCCTGCAACCCGATAACAGCTGGTTGTTGCGGGTACAAGGTTCGATGATCAGAATTCAAGCACAAAAATACCAAAGAGGCCAGCAAGGCAGCTACAAGCACCTACCCCACTACGCGGGGTAGAGCGGCTTTTGGGCACACATCTAAGCTTTCTTGGCGATCGAGTTCCTGCATTCGATCCTGGTTGACATTCCGATCCCGAGCGCGAAAGGATTAACTTAGCCAGGGCGCCGGGTAGTGGCAATTTCATGGAGGCTGTTTCCTTCAGTGCTCGCGCTTTACGCTGACCAGATGTCGACTCATGAAAGCCTTGGTCAATGTCACTCAAGGGTATGGATCAACAGCATGGCTATGTCCTAATTGTCGGAAGCTAGGTCTCCAGTTCAGTTTTCGCATCCCAGAGCAACGATACCGCACGTACTCCTCATTGTAGCGATTTCAAGGCACCATGGCACCAACCAAACTAACTGCCGCCATGAACGGCAAGCGTAAGGCAGTCGAGGATCTGCTGACCTCGATCAAAAGAGCCAGGCCCTCTGAGAAATTCAGCGATAGATCACGGTACAAGGACTCCACGCAAGAAGAAAAACATGGGATCGTGTTACGCGAATTCTATCCTCCTGAAATGACGAATGAGCGCGCCAAACAATATGTCACAGGTGTAGTTGAACGTCCGATCAAGACACTGGAAAAAGCAATCATGGAGACGAAGGAAGATCGCGAAAATGTCAGAGTCAGGAATGCGGTTGTTCATTGGTTTAAGTGTGACCTTCGGACCAGGGATAACAAGGGTCTTCATCTGGCAAGCGAAAAAGCGAAGAGTGCGGGTGTACCGCTAATTGCGATGTACCTTGTCTCGCCGCAAGACTTCCAAGCGCATCTCACAAGCCCAGCTAGAGTTGATTTTATACTCCGATCTCTGGAGGTCTTGAAGGCAGATTTATCCGAGCTGGACATCCCTCTATATGTTGAGACCGTGGAGAAGCGCAAACAGATCCCTCACCGGATCGTGGAGTTGTGTGAGAAATGGGGCGTTAGTCACATATTTTGCAATACGGAGTACGAGGTGGATGAGTTACGGCGGGAAGCAGCGTTGACCCGGAATTGCTTGCAGAGAGGCATCGCCTTTGCCACTGTTCCGGATACTTGCGTTGTGAGTCCTGGTGAATTATCAAGTAAAGGAACTGGCAGCCAGTTTGCAGTGTATAGTCCGTGGTTCAGAGCATGGTGTGCGTACTTGAATTCGCATCAATCAGACCTCAATGAATATCCGAGGCCAGAGAAGAACCCAATTTCAGCTCGAGAATGTTTCAAAGATCTCTTCGAGTGCCCAATTCCGAGTGCTCCACCCAACAAGCAGCTGTCGGTCGAGGAGAAAAAGAGATTTCGAAGTATGTGGCCCCCTGGTGAGCATGAAGCTGCGCAAAGGCTGCAGAAGTTCATCAGCCAGAGGATCAATAAGTATTCCGAATCAAGAAACCTGCCGGCAGGGAATAGTACTGCTGTCATCAGCGTGCACCTTGCCTCTGGCACCTTGGCAGCCAGAACATGCATTGGAGAAGCGCGGAATGCTAACACGAGCAAGAGTATGGATGCTGGCAATCCCAACATCATGAGCTGGATCAGTGAGATTGCTTGGCGCGATTTCTACAAGCATGTCCTAGCTCATTGGCCATATATTTGGTAAGCATGCAACTCATAGCCAGGGTTACAAAGGATGTACTAATGTATTGTTAGCATGAGCAAGTCCTTCAAACCAGAGTACACCGATATTCATTGGGAGTACAACGCAGAACATTTCCAAGCCTGGACAGAAGGTAAAACAGGTTATCCTATCGTTGATGCAGCTATGCGGCAGTTGAACCACACTGGCTATATGCACAATCGTTGCCGGATGATCGTTGCCTCCTTTCTCTCCAAAGATCTTCTCATCGACTGGAGGATGGGGGAGCGCTATTTCATGGAGCATCTCATCGATGGCGACTTCGCCTCGAACAATGGTGGATGGGGTTTTAGCTCGAGTACGGGCGTGGATCCGCAGCCGTATTTCAGGATCTTCAACCCTCTTCTGCAGAGCGAGAAGTTTGACCTGGACGGCGCGTATATCAAGAAGTGGGTGCCCGAGCTGCGGGACCTAAAGGGAGGGAAGAATGGGCCAGTGCATGATCCATACGGGAGAAAAGCAGATAACGTGGCCGAAAAGAACGGATACCCAAGGCCAGTGGTTGAACATAAGTTTGCAAGGGATAGGGCGTTGGCTAGATATAAGGAGGGTCTGGGAAGAGCTACTGCATGACAGATATGATATGTACAGGATGTCAGTTGTGTCAGATATGAGAAGTATGTATAGTGTTTCCTATTACAGGACTAATCGAGAAACAAGCGGTCTTGATCTGAAGGGATCTATGTGCCAGGGCAATGCCTTTTGCCGCCTACAGTCCGACGACGAGAGTTACTTCTCCGGGTTTCGAGCGGTAATGGAAAGAATCTAGGTTCAGTCAGCGCCGGTCGTCATCCCTTCCATGCTACAGAATCTGTTGTGCTGTCAGCCTACTCTGACGAAGTCACCAGACCGATGACCAATGTTTGGCGGAGAACTCGCTGTTGCGCTTGACCCAAGAACCATAAAGGTCAGAGTGCCCACGGGCTTCGAGACCCATCATCAACAATACTTCCGTCAAGCTTCATTGATACAGTAGCGCCGTCGCCTTCGTCCTCGCCCTTCATCTCATCAGATTCGTCGTCGTCGTCGTTTCCCTCGTTACTCTGATGGAACCCGAGGAAGCTCTCCCTCTCCTCCGCCACAGAACCTTTGCTCCGATCGCCCAAGAACCTCGCAACGAATCGCGCCCTCTTCCAGCTTGGCCCCGGCAAACCTCCTTTGTTGTCCAAGGTCTGAGTTTGACTGATCTTGTAGTCAATGGCGAAATCTCTGGCTCTGGCACTGGCACTGGCACTGGCCCACTGAAAGCCTGACGCCCAAGCCCCCGCGGCACCAGCTTTCAGTGGCTAGGCTAACATTTGCCGTACCTGTGGGGGGTTCGCAGTCGGTACAGCAATCCCGTCCTCCTACCTGATCACCCATGAGTGTGCACGTAGGCGGAGAGTCGCTGTAGGTGTGCATCCCAAACGATCATTGCCAATTTTCGACCATCATTGATCGCATGCTCCCCCCCCAGCCACTTTCCGACATGTGTATTGCCCGCATGCTCTCTTGAGCGCGCCGCTTCCTTGGTTGCGAACCACATACCCCCGGTGCCAGTAGGGATACGGACGGCTAAGATGATCGAGTGTGCGGGGCTTGAGCCTGGGGGCGACGGGAAGGTCATCATTCTTACTGTGATGTGAAATCTCTAGCCTAGAGACATATCGAAAGAAAGAATTTGGGCCGAAGTATCGGTTCTTAGATACTCGTAATACTGGTCTGATGACCGCGATTCTGAGCATGGATTGTCTATATAAGTGTATCATGTTGAGGCAATGCAATTGATTTTGCAAGGTTCTAGGATAAAGATGCGATATGTGATATCTTTTGCTGGAACTTTACTTGATTCCTGAATTGGCCGCTTCCTGTAGTTGGTCATGACGGATTCTTAACACGGATATGGTCCTGAACGCAAGCCTCAGACTGGTCAATTCTTTTTGCTTCGCACTTTCTCCCTGAGGGGAATGAACGGGATTTGAATGGCTTCAAATTGTTATCACAAAAAGAAAATGGAGGAAATTGATTTGTTGTTTTTATGGGTGCAAGGATGGTGCTTGTGTAGTATGGTTGAATAAGTTCCCAGCAATTACCCCTATCCATACCTGTGGTCGACGCTTGGTATGTATTATCCTTACGGAGCTATACTTGACGTTATCAAGCTCCTCGGCTCCCTTTGGATGCAGCCTTCATCGGTTCCTTATTTGAGCCCTGTACTATTCCCCTGCCCACCTCAAGGGCAAACCATTGCTTTGGTGTCATCGGGACTCGGTAAGCCCCTGGACTGAGAGATTTCCTGTCTTTCAACAGACACTGAGCGATTTTACTACTACCTTAGGTGCTTGTGAAGATGGGTTGGTTTATGCATGAGCTTCAGGCTCTTACAATCGCACGAGTTAGACAATTATCAGACCGTATAAGCGCCCATTAGCCAGCTTCTCCCCCGCGCTATCCCTACGTTCCGCCTGCAATTTCATTGGTAAAATCTCTAACTAATTACTGCCAATTTCGCAGCTAATTTCGCAGTACCGTAACAGCCATTTTGTACCACTTGCTTCCTACGCACTCTCTGCAGAAACGTCAAACAAGTGTATATATGAGACACATTTAATCTTATATAGTTAGGCTCCAGTTCTAAAGACCCTGGTGGCCGGACCCGTCGCTTGTCTGGCTCAGCCCGGGCCCCCCTCCACCCACCTTCAATGAATATGCCCGAGTCCTTGTGATCAGCCTGCTCGTGTTCGAGATCTAAATTCAACTCAAGGTAGGATACGCCGCCTCGCTTACACTGCATATAGTAGCTAGGGAACTTGTGTCGCCGTAGTAGTATATGAAAGGGCTTTGGCCCTGCTTCTTATGTCCTTCAACCTTCCCTTCATCCTGCCAATGCCTTCGTCTTGATAGTATTCCAGTACCATTTTGTAATTCTGTACCTCTCACGAAAGATGGTCGGCTTCGAGCTCCTGTCTGCAGCGTTCCTGCTCTCCTTTGCTTGTGCCCAGATCTTGGTCCCGCCAGGCAACGTCTCATCCGGATACGTGGAGCCATCCGGGCCTCAGGCGCTGTCCTTCAGCGTATCTGACAATGCTCGACAAATCAGCTGGTTCTTCACGCCCAACGGCTTCGCTGTAGTGGAGGGCGACATCATTTACGGAACGATCGAGGACTTCAACCGGGCAGTGATCAACATCACCTACAACTCGGAAAGTGACCTCAACACCGCCGGCACCAGCGCCAACACCACCGCGCCCGCGCGCCGCAGGAGCATCATCCCGCCAGCGCCTCATGCCGTCAAACGCGCCAACTCCGTGTTCCCGGGATCCTCTGCGCTCTGGCCTGATGGGAATATCCTCTATCGCTATGCTGATCAAGAGACCGAGGACGCGCTGTCGTTGTACACGGACGCCGCCGCCAACGCCTGGCAGGAGGCCGTGCCTTGCCTCAATTTTACCAAGTTGCCCAACGGTGTCGGCGGCTCGGACCCGATCGTGACGGTCTACGCCAATGTTCCAAACCAGGGATACTGCTTGGCATCGCTGGGATTCAGCCCTTTCGGTACAATCATGTCGCTGGACACGGGCGGTGGTTGCGGCGTTCCAGAGTTGATCCACGAATGGGGTGAGTTCCATATACTACACCCTTCTCCCCTCCTTCGAGCTCTTGCTGACAGTCCCCGATCAGGACACATCCTGGGCTTGTACCACGAGCAGAAGAGGCCGGACAGCTTCGCCAAGAACCCGTTCCAATGCCAGAACCTCATCGACTATCCCTTTGGAATACTCACGGCGGAGGCCGACGCCAACTGCTGTGGCAAGGAGCCCAACTACGGCTGCTGTGGTTGGGCCTGCCAATTCACCCCCCAATTCGACCTTTACAACGTTCAGGACCCCGTCAACGGCGAGTACGACCTCGACAGCATCATGCTCTACCGCAATGACGCCTTCGCCAAGCCTGGCACGCTCACCCTCCTCAACGGGCCCAACACGTTCATTAATCCGCAGCAGCTCTCCGCCGGCGACATCAACCGCATCAAGGCACTCTACGGCTGCCCGCCCGACAAACCCCAGCCGCCCAAGTGTCCGAAGGGCTGCGACCCGACGAATTACCAGAACAAATGCAGCTTTCCCACGGCGCCCGTGTGCATCTACCCGTCACCGAGCACTCCAAATCCGAGGGCGGCATGCGCGTGCCGTGCGGGATACAAGGCCACGACATCGGGCATTCCAGACAACGACACCACCAAGCAGTGGCGCCTGCCGGCACCGGAGGGGAATTTCCGCGTCTGGGTGGCTGAGGACGTCGCGTGCGACACGCTGTGCGATAAGCCGTCGGGCACTGAGAGCTGTCGCGAGGTCGCGGAGTTGCCGGCGGAATGCTTGCGCAATTGAAGACCAGCCCGCAGTTCGATCAGGCCGGCACATCGTAAGGTCGAGTCATAGACTTTATGCGAACGGTCAGTTTGCATTGAGGCGCAAAGGACATCGCTCACAAGCCTGCGCGTCCTGAAACTTGTTTTCTTGGTGTTCTTAACACGCTCTTCCATGATAACTATCTCCGCGCGTTTTGTACGTAGAATTTCTCTTTTTGCCAGCTTTGGTAATCGATCTCTTTTCAACAGTAAATCTTAGACCTTACGGCTCTTCTTGCCACTCTAGATATTGTGTGGTGTTTCAATCTGTACGTCGAAACATGCTTATGCGTTTTTCCCGGCTTCATAGACAGGAGCACAAGCCCATCTAACTCGGACTGATTCCTTCTCACAGCCGCACGTATCGTGAGGAGCAAAGAGCGGTCCACTTAAAGCAATCCAGTAATGTTTCATCTTGAATCCTTGGATTTTGGCGGTGAGGGGCTTAGATTGTCACATGTGAGTCGACAATTAGCCGATTGAGGGCAATGTCAGATTCCAGCTCATCCTCATAACGATGGCCACCCAAGCTCGAAACCACCCGACACCACCATGTATCTCTTGCCATCCGGCGTGCCGCCGTGAATTTCCAGTCTAGTCACCCAGTCAGAATACCGTCTTCGTCGAAATTAATGTCGTGTTCCCTAAAATCACCATGCGGGAAGATAACATGGTGAGTTGTATTCTCTATACGTTTTGCCAAGGCCAGAGTTTCTTCATGTTTCCCCTCCGAGGCAAACAAATGAGATGAAGCCGGTTTTAGGAGGTGGCTGTGAAGCGCCGCCTCATTTTCGAATGGACCCATAAGCATATTTCAGAACTCACGAGCTTCTGATGGAAGTGTTGACTGGAGAGCAAGCCCGCTGACCATACGGGCTATCCCACACACGCATGGCGTCCCGGCACTTTGGGAGCTCGCCGGGCTAGTCATCTTCCAAATCCTTTAGGAACGGCACATCGATATTCATCAGCCCAGTCCCGGGTAACCATGTCATGAACATTGAGACAGGCCCGACGAATAATTCCCCCGGCGCCATATGTTCGCCAATCGACAAGACTTTGGGAGCCGAACATTTCCGCCGCTCGCTCCATCTGCATGGCCATGGCCTCCTCAATGTTCGTACGATTGTGCCATTTTCAAAATGAGCCCAAAAGGTAGTTGAATGAGCTGCCCGTCGAATGCGATTTGGAGCCAGTGGCTGTAGAGCCTAGATAGATTGTATAGGAAGCAGTGAACGTACCCCCAAAACCGAACGAAGAGTTGGCCGTGGGGTTTGGGAATTGGTGGAGGTATGCTGAAAACAAAAGTACACATTCGGTGCATGCCAGTAAAAGTCTAGAAGCAAAATATGAGGGTTCCACCATAAGTACAACATGAGAGACTGGGGTAAACTCGTTGGGCCATTGAGCTTTATTCTAATGAGCCAATGTGGTTGAAGTAGAATCCCAGTGTCAGGGTCTCAGCCCTATCCCTAAGAGGCAGGCCTGCCGAGGACGGCATTCTGCTAATTTACGTGCACCCTCCCTTCCCGGAGGACATGATGTAACTACTGGCTCATAGTGAAGTAACTACCAGGGATGTTGGTAGGGCCTCTTCTCTTGACCGTAGATGATGCCCACCTAACTAGGGGGTTTCAGGAATTGGTTTACTGTTGTACACCCACACACCTGCGGTAGTAATCTAATCGCCGTCGTACTTCGTATAGCCAGCGTTGTACCAGCATCTATCATTCTGTCAAGCAAAGCCTTACAACAATTATACACAAATTCAAGTGATATGTCTCAGTGTATGGAAGACGTGAAAGCAACTATACACAGACTCGAGTGATGTTGATGTACAAAAGATGAAGTTGAAGTCAAAACGGTTAAAAAGTTGGAAATCTTGTTTGATGTTCCTTGTCAAGCTTCGATAGCATTACCACCATACTACTTAAGTACTAAACCGCGGAAACACTATTCTTACCACGTAGTAAGGGAGGATTACCCCTTCAGTGACAAAGGGAATAGGAAGGGTTATATGGGAAACAGATATGGGAGTGAAAACAGCGTTACAGTTATCAAGATCCGGTACCTTCTTGATAACAAGTAGTGAAAGCGTGCAATATTATTGTTGCTATTTGAAATCGCCACCGGCCGCGATGATCATGCAATACAATGTTGGGGCTGCAAATCTGCGACTGTTACCTCAATCTGTCCCCGGAGAGGTCTAGACATAAACCACGTTCCCGAACGAAGCCATCCTATGTTGTACGAGTATGAACTCCTCCGCCATGCACATACCCGTCCTTGGCCTCAACCTCCTGTGAGTGCTTAAGCCTAGCCTCCTCATCGAGCCTATGTTGCTCATGGCGACGGTCGCGGACTTCGTGGAAAGCGGCGGTGATAGCGTGGAGGATTCTATGCGGCGCAGACGAGGTTAACAAGGTGGTTATTCAGAGCTACGTTGTTCGCGGAGCGCAAGCAAGAACCGGGAACTTACGTGCTGATAATGGACAAGATGAATGTGCCCCACGGCAGGTTGCAGCTGCTGTCCCGCGCGTTCGCCACCTCACCCGTCACTATGTTGTCGTCCCTTACATTCCGGTTCGAATAGCAGCGCCTTGGACCCGCGCTTCCGCCGTTCGGGCTCGTAATGACTGCCACAGCGATGAAAGCACCCACGAACGCAAGATCCAACAGCACGAACAGCCAGCGCAGCCCTTTCGACGCTCCACCTTTCTTGAGCAACGACATGAGCATAGCGATGAGGGTGTAGAGGACAGCAGCAGCGAGGATGCCTTCAACGGCGCCATGCGATCTGGAGATGCCGCGTTGTGCCTTGAGGCTGTTGACCAAACGGTACACTTTGTAAACACGTGAGGAGAAGATGCCGAGAGAGATGGTGGCGGAGAGGAATTGGAGGATGCGCGTGAGGCGGAGGAGCCAGCGGTAGAGGGCCGTGTGCTTGAGCGATTCGGGGACGAAGCGCGTGAGGAGGCCAGTGTCACCGGCCGTGGTGGTGGCAGAGGTAACACCGTTGGTGTTACGGCGGGCCATGTCGAGTTCTTTGTGCTTGAGCAATTCAGGTAGGTTGAGGTGGGAAGAAGCAGTTAAGGAGTGAGATGTGAAGCTGGAAAAGTCGGGTGCGAATATTGGTAGATCTGAAGACAGTCGTGATAAGTGGGCCGCAATATATAGCTTCACGAAAATCGGCGGACATTTTGGAAAAGTGAAAATCAAGCAATAGTACAGCACCCACGTCACTATGACCCGCCGCCGTCATCGTAGCACAACCGAAGGCAATCTTCGAGAGCAAGAACACATGTCTCACAAATCAAGGCAGTGACGTTTGCCCTGTGAAATTGGCTTACTACATATTTAGGAGCGATCTGCAGCATCGCGGGTCGTCGGTGCTGACGTTTTGCCAGCGCGATGCCTGGTTTCCGAACAGTTGAGTCTTACTTAGCAGTTTTGCCAGCGGAGCGGAACGGACCTTCTTTATCAGATCATTCCCTGTTGCTCCTCTGTTTTGCTCAAACAGCTACAGAAAGCCATATAAGGATCCAGATACCATAACGCTTATATTAATGTGTAACGGAGCTTCTTCTAACTGTTTAGATGTCAATTTTACGTCATGAGAATCATTTTTGACTGATGTCAGACGCTATGAGCGCCTATTGGTTGGACTTTCTACGCGAAACCCTTACGTTTCGCCTGCTTTTGATTGGTCAATTTCTACTGCAATTTCGCAGCTAATTTCGTTGTGCCGTATGGCGAATTTGTAATTATACCTGCGCATCCTGCGCAGCTTTTTGAGAGAGAACAGAGCCGTTTCTTCATCCTCCTTGAAAACTGACTACACTTTCTACATACAAAACTTTGATCACTTAGTCTCGCAAATTAGACTTCAAAATCAAAGAAATAACATTAATTGCAAGTCAGCAGATCCAATGTCAATTGAATGGTAGATTTGCTGTCATTCTACTTGATATCTATAGAGTCAGTATGAATAGCTCAAGCAGCAGCAGCCCCGAAGCATGCGCCAAGGAATTGAAACACATTTGCAATGTGCAATATCTGTCCAGTTCGTTACCTCTTCAAAGGCGAATACTGGCAAATGTGCTTTCCACAAGTATTACTTCTACTAATATCTTCGAGAACATTAGAAGAAAAGTAACGGATAAAAAATTATGGTCATACCCGGAGTCGAACCGGGGTCACCGGAATTCTGTTCTAAATCAAAATCCGGGGTGATAACCACTACACTATACGACCGCCATATAGATGGATAAATTTTCTTCATAAGTATTAACATCAAATAATAAAATCTGGCATTATGAAGCCCTGGGGTTCGAGCGTGTAGATGCTATCCGCTGAAACGGGATCAAGTATGGGTCTCGTGCAGAGAGGTGTAGTAGATTGCTAGTGGTGGAAACTAATAAAGATCTGTCTGAAACGTAATATCGAGCAAAAGCGCTGTAGTAAGATTACATATCCTTCTGCCTACTTTCAATACAACAACATTCACAACCCCTATCATCAACTCGAGCCACATGAAAATCCCCGAGGGTCTCGTACTGACGAAGGCCAGTGATCAAGTAGCCTTGCCTGAATGTGGTCTTCGTATTTCCCGAAAGTTTTAGCAAACTTGGTCAAGCTAAACACTGTTATTGAAGCAATTGTTGGCTCAACCGGCACGAATCGACCAGAAATCCGACGCTAGCTCCAGACGTCGGCGACATTCTGGCGTCCATGTAAAGAGAGCGAGCGTATCCAAGACTCCACCGTGGTTCAGAATCGGCGCAATGTTGTCGATTGCCAGATAGCAGAGTGCTAGCTTGGAATTGTATGCACCACGATTGAACAGTGGATGGAGTATCTAGCGTGTCGGAACTCCTTCGGCGCCAGGCATATCCAACTGCTGAAGTCTGGTTTCACCCATGGAATGTTTTGGTCTTGGGTAATGAACCGTCACTTCTTGTCTTCGCATTTTCGGGAGTTGCACACAAGGTGGAGTGCGATGTAATGACCTGGACGTTTGACAGCCCATCTGCTTGATATTTCATTTCGACTCCATCCACAAAGTCCGCAACAAATACAGAGGTGCTTGCTGAACCCACTATGCCAAGGGTCTTGACGCTTATCTAGCAAGTGGTATTTACTCTTCTTCTGACAGCTCAGCATTTGATGCTGGTTACGAACGGTTCGGCAAATGACTTGCTTGAGTGACAGGCCGATGTCACCAAGTGCTTGGGATACAGCGTGGCTCAAAGCTGCAGCCATTTCCTCACGAGCGGCACGCAGCTTCTTGTGGAACAAAATCTCAGGGCGTCTTTGCATTTCTTCGAGGCATCGCGTCAATAGAGTTGAGCGAAGGATGTAGAAGAGAGATATGCTTGCTGGACGCCGCCTATAGCGGCCCGGGGGGAGGGGGGGAATGGCCCCATATCTGTAACCTGAGTTGAGGTGTAAACTTTGGTGCCCTCCAACACGTAGTCTTGCAGAACTCATTAGTTAGAGAGCCCTCTATGAGCTTGCATCGAGCAATTGCCACTCATTCAGACATTTGGGGACGATGAATTCTTCCCAGAAATAGCCAGCTCATCTCCGAAATACTCACCATCTCCTCCCACCTCCCGTATAAAACATTCCATCCGCAATCTTAATATCATTCAACATTGCCCCCCCCCCAACAGGCCCTGCATAATAGCTAGATTCTGGCCAAATCATGCACGTGTGGCTGCCTGCACAATTTCTCTCGGGAATTCTGACGAAGTGAGATTTTGCAGAAAGCTCCAAGCATTACTCTTCAGCTCGGCTGTCAAGCCTAGGTTCTCTATGTCCCCAGGGATATCACGATTAGCGTTTCCAACCTTCCAAGCAATCTCTAAAACAGCGGAAGCTTTTCGGAGGGCCATTTGCGCATGTTGTTGATGAAAATCCGTATCCCTAGGCATAGCGAGCCCAATCAGTCCACGTTCTCCCTTTGAAGATCACGCTCGTCTCGAAGAATGAAGCTTGCGCCATCTCAGACTCCACCCATTTCTCAGCCGGATAATGAGGCTCCAGCTTCCGTCTCAGCCCAGTCTCGTCAATCGAAGATTCAACACACTCGTCATCAGCATAAACGACTGCGCGCCAGTCGCGACCTGCTGGAAAGTATAAACGCCGTTGTAGACATTAGCGGATTTGATCTTCCCTCCCACTTGAAAATTGCTTCGTAGATTGTAACGTTGAGATCAGCGCGAGCATACTGATCATGAAGATGATATGCGCCTGATGCACCAGCGATGCCTGTGCCAATGATGGCAACTTTAGGTACGTGAGGAGCCTGCTCATCCTTTGAAAAGGGCAATTTTAGGGTGACATGCTGCCCAAAACAAGACCGAAAATTGAAATGACGCAAACTAAAGGATGAAGTAGCAATTTTTGGTGATGGCTTGTCATATATGTAAGGGAGGGGAGAGAGAGCCGATAGGATGATGCACGTGACCTCCATTGTCCTTAGCCCAGTCCCACAAACCTGGGGAGGCGACCCCTAAGCTTTCAGCTCTAGGGGTCTCTCTGGGTCATTCCTCTGCCAAGCTCTCCACCAGCTATGCCCTCAACACTGCCGGGAGTTGACCTTCAATCCCCCACATCTGAATGCACAAAGCGTTCCGATGTCCTCCGGATATCTCTCACATCCCCATCTACAACCTTCGCAACCGCCACTGCCTCCACCTCAAATCTCAACTCTGGCAACGCTAGCCCCGCCACAAAAACCAGTGTATCCGGCGGGGGCATCTGCTTACCCCAAAACCCCATAACGAGCTCTTTCCTTGCTTCCTCCTCATCCTCCCTCTCCCCCGGCTTCCCAACAATATAAAGCTTCATCTGCACGATCTGCTCTTTCGTACATCCGGCATGATCTAGGCATTTGGAGAGATTGTCTAGAGCGAGAGAGACCTGACTGCGGAAATCCGGGGCGATGGTCCCGTCTGGGTGGATGCCGACTTGCCCGGCGATAGTGATGAAGTGGGCAGTGTTGGAGATGAGGGTACTGGAGATGTGGGAGTAGGTGGGGGCAGGTGTGTGGATGGTGGGGGGATTGGAGATTTGGGGAGTTTCTGAGTAAGACATTGTTGGTGGGGTTTGGAAGGTGAGGTGAGTGAAGTCCTGCTGGCTAATAATGAGGCTGATATGAAGACGAGTAGGTTAATGACTTCAGAAATGTTTTGTAGCGGCTCGCTCCATCTGCCGAATAGGGTAGGTAGAACGACATATGACTCATGCTGGATGTGGGGAACGCTTTCAGCCAATTGACATGCATTAGATCCGCTGTAAAATCTTCAACCATCACCTCTTACCGGGGAAAGCCTTCCAGTACAAACCCCACTATAAGGTCTTTACCGGGTTCTTAGGTGGAAGACAATACCGCAAGAAACCTAAGCGGAGGGTGCATCGCTAAGCTAGAGGCAGTTTAGACAGAAGCGTCGATGTGGACCGGCCTATGAATGGGGGCCTTAAGAAAGCATTCGTGGCGTCTTGTCATACAGAAAGCAGTAAAAATGGAAAGTGGTGCGACAAGGGAGCATGACAAAACGGTTCCTAGCACGAGAGCGAAGCGGTGCGGCCTACTACTTAGGGTAAGTACCAGACCTACTATGTAAGTCAAAAGGAGGCCACGTGCTGGCCTCACTCTAGGGAAACTACATGAATATATTTCTTATATATTTTTAAGAATTCATCTAGAATTACTTTTTTATGTACTATTAGACCATTGTTTCTATTCAAAGTCTTATTATGAATTGAACTGGTGAGAACTGTCAAGAATTCTGGTCCCTCGCTCCGGCTTGTCCATTTACTCCAGGATTAAGAAAGTTTGACTGATAATGTTGCTTGGAGGAAAATGAAGCAAGACCAACGATAGCGAGCAGAATATCCACAGTAAAGCTCTGTCTAATCGGACAAGACGCCACAGAGCGTGACTCTTTGTAGTCGACGTTTTTGGAACTTTGCTCGCCGGTCAAGAGATTGCATATTACGCTTGCGTTGCCGTACCTGTGATATGAAATCGCTCGAAAATTTAGTAGACCAATGTAATGTCAGGACTCTTCACTTCGCGGTTTCTTCTACCATCTTCACTCCTTCTTTCTCCACCAACACACTGATGGGGTCGCAGATTTCCTTCTTGTACGGCGCAAGCACACTGGTTCGCTCAACACCGAGTGACCATCTAGCAGCAACTGTGTCGCAATACCGCAGGTCACTCCGACTGCAAGTGCCATGCCAGAGTAGCGCTGTGGATTGCCAAGCAGCTCAAGCGTAGACGTAAACGTCTCCTGATGCAACTCGTCAGTCAACAATTGCATCACCAAGAAAGATCAGGGGCGTTGCAACAATAAGAGACTTGGCACAACGAGCGTTTTGTGAAGCTCCCTATATATAGACAATTCGATAAATTGCGGAATGCAACACGCAGGGGCGTACCATTTTCTGATCACTCCACTCGACCACAAACTTGTGCTGAAGTATAACCAAATCTCGTTCTCCCGGCTTGAAGCTCATGAGATTTTCCAGTTGCGTGCACAGTGTGTCAAGGAGATTTCCTCCGGCCACAGTAACTTTCTCGGAAGAGAGGATACCCATCCACCTCATACCCGAGATGATACGATCGCTCTCTGCCTGGCTCGGAAACTTGGCCACTTCTTTGATACGAGATATTAGAGAACTGCATCAACGTCAGCTATATCCTATGCAGCAAAGACAGACGTATCGTATCCCTCGTCTGTGCTTGAGGCACCGATAGTCTTTTTCTGGATCTCGGCCCACGTCATGTCATCTTTCAACCAGTCCTTCTTATCTTGCTCCAACCATCCAAGATTGGCCAAGGCTTGCAAGAACGCTGGGTTTCCTTCGTATCTAAGTGACCCTCGGATGACAGTGTGCGCTTCGAGAATGTTGTAGAACTCACGAAATGGAACGGAGTTGCGGTTTGGATAAGCTACAAAGTCATAGCCCTTCATGACATAGTATGGCTTTGACGTAGTCATAAGATCATCAGAGGAGATCTCTATAACTTCGCCATTTTGCAGAAAGGTTGCAGAGTTGCGTTGCGAAAGGAGTGCACCACGTGGGGACCATGAGAACTTGAAGCCGAGTGGGTTGTCCGCACAATCAGGAGCCGGAAGTCCTCCGCAATATGAGTAGAACTCTCGGATTTTCCCATCTTTTGCGTGAACTTCGTCAATCTTTTTTATGGCGTAGAGATGATCGACACCTGGGTCAACGCCAATTTCATTCAACACCGTGATACCAGCCTCCTTCACTTCACCTTCCAGCTCCTTTATTGCTGGGGACACGTAGCTCGTGGTGACGACTTGAGTTCTACTTTTGATTGCTGATTTGATCACAGCAGCATGATATATGTACGGAATGAGTGAGATAACAAGATCGTGAGCGCCGACCTGCCTGTCAAGATCCATCATTGACGAGACATCGAGATTGATAGCATTTGTGCGAGGGAAACCGGCCGCGTGTTTCTGGGCGCTCGGCAAGGTCCGGCATGCTACACAAATGAAAATAAGCTCATCCAAAGTCTTGAGCATGTCATACTCACCGACTGTAATTCTGTTTTTGGGATTGCGAACGAGATACTCAACACAAGGCGGAGCCACCATGCCACTCCCAAGAACCAGGATCTTCTTCGAAACGTCAGACATGGCAAGGATTTTTTGGCAGACCTGAGCAGGCTTTTAGATTCAATACACGTGGATTGCTGAGATGAGAGTCAATTCAAAAATCTTATAACAATTTCAAGAAGACTCATGTGGTGGGAAGGACGAGTCTTTTATTGCAGCAATCCTGGTTTATGTACGGAGTCGTGCATCAAAAGTCTTCAACATACGCTAAAATTAGTACATCACTAGCATACTCAAAATGAGGGCTAATACAACATAAATCATGCTTAGGACTAAGGAAATCAAAGACACAAGGACGATAGAATAGTATGCCCTGTGTCACTGAATGGTAACACTTCCTTGTTGAGGATAGCGTTGCCGTGATTTAGCGTTGAAATTCTGCTGCTGCCTTGGCAGAAAGAACACAAAAGAACCCGAGTGACATTTTATAATTCAATTTACATAGAAATTTTAGGAATTAAAGATTTACAGATCAGTCATCAAATGACGTGATTTTTAATATAATAAACCTAATGACCAGGGTGATGCAGACAGAAAACGATCTAGACGCAAATCAACTTTAACGTTCTTCTTGCTAAGGCTGCAGCACAATTCTTAACTTTATTTAATTTAAGCTCATAGTGACGCTATTCTTTATAAGGAAGTGTCACCATTCAGTGACACAGGGGATATATTTTCTAAGAGTTCATCTAAAATCACTTTTATGTATTACTAGGCTATTATTTCTATCTAAAGCTTAACACTAACTGTGCTTAGTAAGACTGTCAAGAATTTTGGCCTCCAGCTCCGGCCTCAGGCTTGCATCCTTCAAGTTGTACTACGTAGTTGATAGCTTCTTGCACATTGCCTCATTTCTAAGCCGTGCTCTTTTGGCTTGGCCGCTAACTAAGTCAGAGTACGCCATCAGCGACTAGCCAATTCGAGCATGGTGTGTGTGGCTTGGCCCACTAAGCCCGTCTGAGCGACTGAGGCAACTTGCGAATACTAGTAGTACAGCGTAGTAGCTTACTACTACCTCGCTTACTACGTAGTCATGTGGTTTTGTTCCGCCTTTGACTCACAACTCTTTTTTTTTTCAGGGTGGCAATGAACCCTCGTTACACTTTGCTCTCTGGATTTGGACACGGTCGGGCCACGTCCGATATAATGGAACGAGGAGGTTCTTTCTAGTGGGATATCTTCTCGATACGCACATGTTTGCAAACAGGTTGGCGTAATGACTCGGACTACGCCGAAGTTGCCCAAGCAGCAACTCTTGATTCTTGGTAAGTGATCCTGAAGTGGCAAACTTAATTCGAGGGATGTTGGCCTGATATTGCGTGCAGCAATATGTCGATTTGCTGAGCCGATTGCTCTGACTTCAGTTTTTCCATACCTTCCTGAAATGATAGAGTCCTTCAATGTGCCCACCGACAAAATTGCACAATGGGCTGGCACTACGTCTGCCATCTTCTCCCTATCTCAGTCACTTACGGGCATCTGGTGGGGCCGAGCATCTGATCGATTTGGACGGAAACCCACTATTATAGTAGGCTTGCTTTGCACCATGGCATCCAGCCTGCTGTTTGGCTTCTCGAAGACTCTCCTCTGGGCACTTCTGGCACGAGCACTGGGAGGCTTAGCAAATGGTAACGTGGGCACCATTAGGACTGCGGTTGCAGAACTGGTCCCTCAGAAAGAGCTTCAACCACGGGCATTTTCTATCATGCCGATGGTTTGGCAAACTGGAAGCATTCTTGGACCGGCTTTTGGGGGAGCCCTCGTTCATCCTAATGAACATTTCCCCGGCTTGTTCCATGATAACTCCTTTTTCCGGCGGAATCCTTTTTGTCTCCCTGGCCTTGTTGCTGGAATATTCTTCTTGGTTGGGATTCTGTCTGGGCTTTTATTTCTGCAGGAGACCCTTGAGGCTAAAAAGCATAGAACAGACTATGGTCTCATGCTTGGATCTGCACTTACAACATCATGCTCAAAGAGAAAAGTAAGACGGTGGCCCAAATCGTGGCAGTCTTCAGATGACGAGTCTCGTCCATTCTTGGATGAAGAGCCAGCCGGAGAGCCTGGCACACCTATGTCAAGAACGAGGTCGTTCAAAAAGCAGATTCCCAGTAAAGAGCCTGGATATCGAGACGTCTTTACCCGACAATCAAGCATCAACCTTTGTGCTTACACTTTGCTGGCAATGCATTCAGTTGCCTATGACCAACTAGTCCCAGTTTTCATGCATCATCCACAACAGAACATCAAAAATCCTGATGTACACTTGCCCCTCAAATTTGCAGGTGGATTTGGCATCAATTCCGGCAGAATAGGAGCTCTTTCTACCATTTACGGGGTTTTCGGCATGCTCATTCAATTCACAGTCTTCCCTCCGCTCGCTCGGAAGTTCGGGGTACTGAGGTGTTTCAAGTCAACTGTACTTAGTTTTCCAATCATCTACGTCCTGACCCCGTTCACTTCTTTGCTCCCTACGCAATTCGTGCAGCAGACTGTTATGCTAGCGCTAATGCTTTGTAAGGGATGGTTATGTGTCTTTGCTTTTCCTTGCTCCACAATATTATTGACAAATTCTGCCGTAAGTCTGAAGATCCTCGGAACGTTGAATGGAGTTTCTACTAGCATTTCAGCAATTGGTCGAGCTGCTGGCCCAGCTCTTTGTGGTGTTGCATTCACAGCTGGTGTCGACAAAGGCTATATCATTGCGCCATGGTGGCTATTGGCGATTATATCGATTTTTGCTGCAATTCCGGTCTTTTGGCTTATTGAAATGGAAGGTTTTGGAAGCAAAGATAAGGAGGAGGAGGATGCCAATGGTTCAGAGGAAGAAGAGGTGCGCGGAGAGTCCAACAATACTTTTTCTACCCCTGAAGCAAATCTGCATAAGAAACTGTCTACTGCGGCAGCAGACGAAGATGCCGTAGTTGACGAGCCAGAAGAATGCTTGGACGATGGTTCACCGCTGAGGAAGACACTGTCTTATAGTAGCACACGCGGATGCTTCAAAAGTGGTTCGAAACCGTTGCCTCCAATCGGCATGGGCGAGGGCATTATTCCTCGAAGTGCAAAAAGACTGAGCAGCGATCTTGGTGCTAAAAGAAGTGGACTTGGGACGGGAGTGACAATGGTTCAATGATAAGCAGTGATTGCCAGGCATTCGATTGTGAACAAAGATCTCGATTGTCCTCATTCGCAGGATTTTCACCCAGTGGACGATCACCAGAGCGGATAGAGTACACCAGTTCCCAAAGCGATGCTCAGGTATTGCTCGTCTCGTGTCCGAGTTTGACATATCAGTGATGCTGCTCCTGGGTGAAAGTGTGCAATTAGATGATTGCGGAGGGAATTTCCAGGGCATCATGTCGAAACTGGGAATGAAAATGGGTCACACGCCTACAGGATCTGGTGAAGAAGGCGCAACATGAAGTTCATCCAGAAAGAGCTGTACTCAAGGTCTACAGAGAGTTGGTAGTAGATGATTAACAGATACTAACCTGGAGATCGGCTCTGAAAATGATGTGTTATTGGTCCATAGCAAAATAACCGATGGTTTGTTGTTATAAAAATCGTCAAAGGGTGACCGGAAACCATAATCCGACTGTCAAATGTGATGAGGTGGATGAACTGAATTTTATCTGCTCTGCAGATTCTATCTAAGAAGGAGGAGCAGGCTAATCTACTTAGTCGCGCAGGCACGTGACACCAAGGTCACGTGCTGTCAAGAGGATTTGGCTGTACGCATACGGCCAATTCCAACAAAATGACCATAATTTTAAAAAAAGATGTCTGAAAATCATAATCTCGTTGGATTTAAGACGTCTTAGTTACATATTTCTATACATTCTATACAGATTAGATCATATTATGATTAGGCTTAAACTAAGCACACATTGATGGTAATTTAGACATAGCTTTCAGCGGGCTTCTTCTGCTAGTAGCAGGCCAACTTCATTTGAAGTATTCCAACAAACAAATACTATTATTTCCTGTCAGATGTTTTGACAGAAAAGAGCTGATCTATGGACATCCTCCAATTTGGACAGAGGCAACTTGGTAAAGCTTGCTTGATCTTGGCTGCTACCATCCTAATACGAGTACTACATAAGCGACAGAGTACTACGTACTAGGGGGGCCTGAAGTAATGTTAGTCTGACGTTAAGAGCAACTAGCTCTTATTACGACAACCTAGTGTTATAATTCGCCGCCTCAAAGCTTGTACTGTGTGCATTCATTCTGATGAGTCGAATCATTACATCTAACTTTTTTCAGGCATAGCTGTTCTGTACAGAGAGGATTTACAAGTAAAGATACTAGCGCTGAGCTAACATTACTTCATCCCCCCCGTAGTAGAACCTTCGCTGCGGGTCTTCCGAACCAGAATCCTCAACATGATGAATCCGCAATTTCCGAGATAACTAGCAGAGACTCGTCGTAAGCCAAGAGCCCCATACATAGAACGTTAGAACTCTAGGACGGTCAATAAGCAGTTAGAAACAACCAGGATAGACTTCATAGTATCGTAAAGTGGATAAGAAGAAACTGTGCCAGTGGTAATCACCCTTCGCCCTGGTACACGTGTAAAAGGGCAGCCAAGGCAAGGTGCCGCGCCCCTCTGCAGAAAAGCTCTCTATCATTGGTCTTTCTGCCTTTGTCCAACCAACACCTTATCAGCCAACCTTTCTGGGATCCTACTATGCATCCCAATCTTAGAGTAACGCGCAGGCCCCACCTTTTCCCGCTAATTAATCGGCATGTCGGTCCGGAGGTCCCCTTCAAAGAGATGCGCAAAACACCCTGTCAGTCAGTGGACGTCGAATAATCTGCTCACACGACACCCGATATCGCATTATTTTTTCTAAGACAAACTCGCTGTACACTCCTTCGTTGTATCTGCTATGTGATAGTATCTGTGGCGGCTGTCTTCTTGTCTTAAATTGGCAATGTCATACTTTACTTTCAAGCAGCGATGATAATTAGGGGTTCTGCATGGGTGTACCTTGCAATCTTGATATGGTTCAATCGCGTTGAGGCCGATGCAGATTTCCTCGACGTTCGAACAAAACTCGAAAAGGACCGCAGTGGCAGGAGGGGGGATCCTGCTGGAAAATACTTCCGTACGCGATATTGTTGAGCATGACAACGTGTTGATACTAACTGGCTTATTGCAGATGAATCTACGTGTGGCGCCCTGATAACCAGCACCTTTGCACGCGGCCACTGACTATCAATCCCTAGGTTCCATCCTCATTACGATGGCCGTTTCGCGGATGACCAAGTTGGTAAGGAAGAGCGGCTCGACCACCTTACTGCCCTCATACAGACCTTTCTTTACACCATGGCCGATATAGGTGCAGAAACATGGATTATGCATGGTACTCTTCTGGGCTGGTGGTGGAATCAGAAGGTAGGTCTAGCTACCTTGGGACATGAACAGGAGAAGACGCTGATACGTATACTTGCAGATTCTTCCTTGGGACTCGGACCTTGACCTTCAAGTCTCCGAAGAAACGATCCACTTTCTTGCCAGATACTACAACATGACCGAATACCATTTTTCCCTTCCAGGCCTTTCCTCCGGCCGAAACTACTTACTTGAGATCAATCCACATTACATGATCCGCGGGACGGACGATAAATTGAATGTCATTGATGCAAGGTGGATTGATACGGAGACAGGACTGTTTATAGACGTCAGCACTATCCGAAAGAATTGGACAGCGATTGAAGATGGTGTAGAAGGGGCTTTGATGTGCAAAGACAAACACCATTACTTCGTAAGCATAAATGCAGTCTCTCGAGCATCCGAGGAAGTCCTACTAAAGAGAGGCGTTCTGTACAGGAGAAAGACATCTACCCACTTCGTGACAGCTTTTTCGAAGGCTTCCCTGTCAAGATTCCATTTGAGTACGGTTGGCTCCTAGAGGAGGAATATGGCAGAAAAGCTTTGACTGTCACGCAGTACGAACAGTATGGTCGTCATAGCTACAGCCAGTTTACGAGAGTCCCCCTTTTTTGCTGACAGTGCTGACAGTCACTGGTGGAACGAAACCTCACAGCTATGGGAGTCAATGACATATAGACCATTGAGGAAGAAACCTCCACCATACCCACCTAGAGGAAGGCCTTCAAGGTGACGACCTGGATTTCAATCTTTGAACGTCAATATGTTAGAATCGAATGAACTGCGTACAAGCTATTCACTCATCTAAACAACTCTCTAATCCACCTACAATAAGGTGCCCACCACGTCAGGCGATGATGTTTTCTGAAATCGATGGTGAGACATGAACCCGCTATCGCAGCAGAGTCGTCTCCTACCCTGACAGCAGGAAAGCTTACCAACATGTCTTACACATGGATCTGCTCCAGCCACTTCGATGGGTGAGCGGCGTGTCATCGCGATACGGTCCACTCACTCATCGAGTTTCGCTTTCACATTCACATATGTTCAACGAGGCGACAAGATCTATCGTCCACACCATGCATCATCAAGCCCCATCATGTTAACCAACGCTTTCCCCAGCTAAGACCACCAGATCTTCATGTTTCGACCTGATTGGCACTTAGTGATGCGTCAGTTGAGGACGGCGGTGGGGAAGTAATCTCAGAGCTCGACATAGAAGGTCTGTGGATGAGTTACTCGCCTAAGGGTAAGCTTCTTATTGAGAGGATGTGGGGGTAGATTACGAGATATGAAACAAGAGATAGAAAGAGAGGCAAAGAGACGGGGTGCCACCAAAGACTGCACGGGAACTACTAAGGTCAGCCCTTTTTTTGCGTCATACGAAGAAAACTCTATCAGTCATTTGGTTGACTGTCCGTTTCGTTGGTTTAGACAACAGACGGAGACAAGTCAGATGGTGTTATTTATCGGGTGGGATTAATTGTAATAGATAGCCACGACATGTAGAGATGTAGATACATATAAAAGTATCTTCATATTAGTACTCCTTTCATTCATGTAACAGGTATGCAGTTATCATTCCCCATACTCCTCAACCAACCCCGTTTTCCCAAATGTCCCAAACCCATACTGCAATAACACATTCTGCTTATTTCACAGGCCGTCCTTGGAAGGGGCGTTAATTGGATCAATATACGGGATTGAAGCTTTGTCTCTCTCAGGTCTCAGCAATTTGCGCTTCGTCTGGACAACATGAGCACGTAGAACTTAGAAGAGCACGACGAGATTAACGCAATAAATAGCACCGTGAAAGATTTCTCAACTTCCATTATGTTGATAAGATCAAAGCCAGGGACTTGCAAGCCTTTATGGGCAATTTGTATGCATTCATGCTCTTCTATTCCTAGCACAGGAGGCGGAAATTGGACGGAATGACAACAGACTGGGAGAACATACCAAAAGGGTAAATGGGTTGAAGAGGAGGTAGGTGTAGAGGTATCCGTCTAGGAAGATACCGGTGTTAGGGGCAGGAAGCTGCGTAGCCAATTGAGAAGGAAGTGGGCAGATGAGAAGGTGGTTGAGGTGTACTATTGGGAGAGTTTGGATATCGCTGCCAAAGAAGAGAGCGCGATGTAAAGGAGGGTATTCCTGATCTTCATGTAGATCACTTACGGTCAGTGTTGACTCCACCATTATACACAGATGACTATTGCTAGAGCAGTAAATGCCCATTGTAAGATGCATGAGCTTCCGCTGAAAGACACAAACTAGTCACAATGGTATGTTTTGACATATCACACACGTATGTGCATGCCTGCTCAATCGCACCACCTTTGGTTATTTTTATCGTAGCCGATCACGTCAAGCTCGATATTGAGGCTCTCCAGCATCATGTCCATCGTGAAGGACTGGGTCTGTAGGTCAGTTCCAACTTACCAACGGAGGATCTGCTATCGCAATCTAGGCATGCACTCACATCATCCTCATTTTCCATCACCTCTTCCTCCTTCTCAGAACCATACTTCCTCCTCTCTGTCTCCCACTCATCCTTCCGCATCTCCATTTCTTCTCTCTGCTCCTCGCTCATGTACCTCAGATCTGCCTGCAAATTCTCGTCGTCCCATCCCTCGGGTTTCTTCCTGCTTCGCTCTCGCCAGGCACCCACACCACCCATGCCATTGACGCGGTCTTTGGCGCCTCGAAAGACCTCCTCGGCTGCTTCTCGGCTTGCGAGTTTCCATTTGGTGATCACGTTTTCAAGCTCGGTGTCGGCAGATGAGGATGCGATTTTGAGGGCTTGTTGGGCTGTGTCGAGGTTTTGGCCGAGTCTGTTGAGTTGAAAGATGAGGTCGGAGTGTTGCTTTTCAAGGACATGGAGGATAGAGTCTTCCTTAAGGTGATCTGTTGATGGGTCGGTTGGTGTAGACTTCCCTGTGGATGCTGTGGTTGGATGCGCGTCGAGATGACTGCTGTGGATCGTGGCTGTAAGATCCTTTTTCTGTTCTTGGCCATTGTTCGTGTCAACAGCCTTTTCACCATCTCTTTCACCATCCTCGAATGGCCGAGTAGCTGCTTTTAGTGGGGACTTGAATGGTTTTGAGAGGGCAGACGCCCCATCATTTAGGCGTCTCCGTTTAGTGGAGTAGGACAGGATTGTCATAGCCGTGAGACTCTGGTCAATTAGCAGAAAAGTAGTCAGTAGCTCGGGCAAGTAGATGATAGGTCGTCAACTGGGATGCAATTATTTCATCGTCATCGTTATCATTATCATTATCATCACCACCATGGTACAATCGGTCACCAGATTGCCCATTAGCGAAACTTGAGAGGGGAACCTTTTGGCTGGCCTAGAGGGATCCGAAAACGGTGTTAGCGTGTTCCGTATGGAAGGTTAACTTTAACTTGCTACTGTGCGTAGTTAGACAGAAATCCACACGCCTACACAATCAAACGAGCCCCATGCCTCATGCTTAGCGAAACCCTCGGTGAATAATAATAATCGCCAGCCCAGCCCGACTGAAAGATGACAGCCTCCATTCATGGGACACGCATGCCTACATCAAATCTATTCATCAAACTCCATCATCACCCACCATGATTCATCTCCATCACCACAACACCATCACCACCACATCGCCGCAAACATCTCGATGATTGCTGCTTCTATGCCTGGCTGACGCCTCCTTTGTCAAGCTTAATTTAACAACCACCAACGTGACCTCAGAATCGGCGGACCTCCTTTTACTTGACACACTACCATTACCTCACTCTCACCTCGTACAACATCATGTCGGCTTCCTCTTCCACCACAATCTCAACACCAGCTCAGAATGCTCGACCCGACAAGACCAACAAGCCAAGCAAGATCGTCGTGTTCAAGGTCTCTCCTGAGAAGCTCGGTCGCTTCATGCCAAAACCAACCCAGCGAAAGAACTCGAAAGCAAAATCGACACCATCCTCAGTCTCAACACCAACAAGTGCCCCAGCTGCCGCTTCCGCTCTAGCTCCTGCGTCTTCACCTAATGGCGATGCCTCAGAAAGTAATTCCACCCCAGTACCTGGTGCCACGGAAGCACCAAAGAAAAAAGGCACTGGTGCAAGAGCCGGTACGAAAAGAGCGTTAGATGGTGCCGCTAAATCTCGAGGCAAACCAGGGCCGAAGAAGAAGCCTAGACTGTAAGTCACCTTGCTTACCGTTTCGCTGGATTTCGCACCTCTCTATTCATCTCTTTTTTGTTTTGTCCTTGTCTAGTCCACGACAGCTTGCGTGTGCTGCACCCCATCTGCAGCGCATGCACATCGCTGGCCGCCCTCCATAGACCTTTGCCGTTTAGATTACACTCATCCATTTTATTTCAATTTCATATACTAACCTCAATACTTAGTGAGGACGGGACTATCGACCACGCTGGCAAGCCAATTGGTGGTGGTGGTGGGGGTGGGGGTGCTGTCACTAATGGCACTCACAAACTTGGACCTAAAGCCAACCAGGGTGCCATAAATGCTGGGCTGCGAGCTCTCGACCGATCCGGGAAACCATGTCGAAAGTGGGAACGTAAGCCAATTCAACTCAAGAGTTTTACCGGGGTTGTGTGGGAATTACCATCGTGGCGAGCTCCCAAGTCAAAATTGCCAAAGGAAGAAAGCCAGGAGAGCAAAGATGCCTCACAGCCGAGTGGCAGCAAAGCCAACGACAGCAGCACAGCAATGGATAGTGAAAAGAGCAATGCTGGTGAGAATGGAACACGGCTTGTGATGGAGTCAACACCAGCCGCCAGCTCTCCTGTCCCAGCTCCTCTGCTAGCTCCTGTCGCTGCAACTGGATGAAATGTCAGCGCTCCATGCTCGACATTTCGAAGTCGCCTCTACCACACAATCATGCTACATTTATCATCTACAGTTTTTTTGTTACCATACTGTCAAAACGTGGTAGCGGAATACGGTCTGGCTCGCAGGGCGTGTGCTGCACTTATCACCTTATCGAAAGGCAGTCCTTATCTGCAGGAATTACAAGAAAAGCCTCTTCCAGTGTATCTCCACTTTTTCTTCTCTTCATCAAGGCGTTAAGAGCATACTAGCTGTATGCATGGAAAAGATCTAGAATGAGGCAAAAGTTAGTATGCAACCAGCAACATGGAGTCAAGGTCATAGGGAAACATCAGGTGGCTCAGGCAATGTCACCTGCAGCGTGTATTTCTACATCGGCGTCAATTAGTTAGCAACCATTAATCAGGCTTTTCTCCCAACAATCTGTTCTCTGTACGGAGTAGTACGGAGTATTATGGAGTACCAGTAGAATCACCCCCTTACCCGGATTATGCCTGGAAAGATCCTAGCAATAAGCCTGATTCTGCCGCTAAATCGAAGTAGAGTGTCCCCTAGAGCTCTTCAATCCGTCCCCGCATCAGCTAACTTACCTCATCTGCTCACGAGAGGATGTTGAACACGATTAAACGCCCCCGACATTGAGAAACAAAGCTGTTCACCGTAATTGCAGATAAGTCAAGACTGTGCATCGACATGCCACCAAGCCTGCATTCGAGAAACACTCAGTCAAATCCTTGATCGTCATTTGCTCATCCAAATACATCACTATCAACCAATCTCGCGGACCGCTCGCATATCTTGATTTGGTAAAGCATCCTGACGGAGACATCACAAATACACTGTCATTCTGCCCTTCACTGTCACTCCAGGGCGTGGAAAAACAATCTGTTAACAGGCATGACAAATGGCTCCAGCGCTGGTAATGCGCCACCGGCTTCATACCCTGCCGGACCCAGCGGCAGTCTGATGCCTCGAAGGTCATCATACGCTTCTGTTCTATCTGGGGCAGTGCCACAGAGCTACGCTTCCCCCGCCAGAGCAGGAGCCTTTTCTCATCTCGTCAACGCAACACCGAGCAGTTCTTATCCCCCTCAATACGTGCCCGATCATCGCTACCAACGTCCAGTATCTGGGCAAGAACCTACTCCAACCGCAAACGCCTCGGGTTCATGGAGGAAGAATACCCAACTCCCATCATACTCAAGAAAGTTCGCGGGCATCGTTGGTAACACAATGCCCAACAATGTGGGTTCAGGCTCGTTCTTCGTACCTTCATACCTTAGGCATTCACGATACGTAGCAAAACTAGAGGCTGCACACAAAGCAAAACTGGCAGCTCAACGTGAGGCAACATCAGCCCATTCTTCGAATGGTGTATCTCTTTCAACCAGCTCAAGCAATGCCAACCTGCATCGAATGGCGCCCTCCCATCGGGGTATGACATACGATATCATCGAGAATGCTCCTCCCAGTGAAGACGATAACCTGGTCCCTTTACCATCAAGATGGAATGATATGGACAAATGTCCAGGGCTTGATCTGCTTCAGGATGGAACGGAAATACGCTACAGCGGACCGAGTAATAAAATGGAGCTTGAAGCTGGTGCCGCACGTGCGGACCATCCCATGTCACCTCAATGCGGCATATATTACTTTGAGGTTGAGATAAAGAACAAAAGCAAAGATGGTATGATTGCAGTTGGCTTCTCCAATCATAGAGCTTCTCTCGAACGCTTGCCCGGTTGGGAAAGCGAGTCCTGGGCTTACCACGGTGATGACGGGAAATCATTCTTCGGCGAAGGGACAGGCAGGAATTACGGACAGACATTCGGGATCAACGATGTAATTGGGTGTGGTGTAGATTTTGCATCTGGTTGTGCTTTCTTTACCAAAAATGGCAGAAATCTTGGAATTGCGTTCAGGGAACTGAAGAACGTCAGACCATTTCCCGCGGTAGGGATGAAGAAAAGTCCCGGCTCTTGGATCAGCGTCAACTTTGGACAGAGACCTTTTATCTTCGATATCGACGGTATGATGGCACAGCAGAGGTTAAGCTTTGATAAAGAGATCAATGCTACCCCGATCTCCGCACTACGACTTAATCCACCTATGGACGAGTCGACGCTTGTTCAGGAGCTCGTTGCACATTTTCTTGCACATGATGGATACGTGGAGACTGCAAAAGCATTTGCAGAAGAGGTCCGCACACAGTCGAGACCTTTGCGTGGTGATGACAGCAGCGTTCTACAGGAATTTGAGGTTGCTGAAGATTACCATGCTATCTATCGTCAGAGTTAGTATTTCTCAACCACTAACGATTGAGTATGAAACTTATTTGGATAGAAATTCGCGCCTCGATATTGGAAGGGGATATTGACAAAGCATTCAAACACACCACAGCCTACTATCCTCACGTCTTAGAAGACAACCCCGAAATAGTATTCCGCCTCAAATGCCGAAAGTACGTCGAAATGATAAGACGTTTCTCCGAATTGCACAATCCGACTCCAGCCACAGACATTCCTAGCAATCCCTTTCCCATCAAATCTAGCAGCAATGGCCACGCCGACGTCTTCGACGAAGACATGGAACTAGATGACGAGAACGATACCGAAAACGACTCCTTCCAAGAAACAAACACCAGTAATGGCGAGGACACCCAGCCTGAGGAAGACGATGAGGACGAAGATGGAAGAGAAGAATACCACAACGTTCCCACCGATCCCACCAAGCATGGAGAACTTCTCCAAGAAGCGATTTCCTACGGTCAAACCCTAACGCGCGAATACCGCGACGAGAAAGAAGAATACCAGAAAACGCTCGAGGATATATTCAGTTTGATTGCCTATGATGATGCCAAGTCGAGCGTTCATGGGCATTTGTTGGAGATTGAGGGAAGGGTGCAGGTGGCGGAGGAGCTAAACTCGGCCATTCTGGGTGAGTGTGCGCGATAGCGACCCCAGAAGGGGGCTATGAGGACTCTTGATAAGTTGTTGACGGGTTTTTGTTTAGTATCACTCGGCCGATCCTCCTCCGCTGCCATTGAACGGCTCTACCAGCAGACTGAAGCCCTGGTAAGCGACCTCAGCGATTTGGGGCATCCGGCGGCGTTTGTCAATGTCAGGGATGTATTTCGGACGTGACCCGTGATATCTCGAAGCTCCTCTCCTGCATAGCCGGAGTTACTATGCATCCATGTCCCTTGGGTTTGGTGTGTGTCTGCTTACTCCACTTTTGAAATTGGGCAACCTAGATCGTGTTTCTCTGGGGCTGGGCGTTGGGTGAGGGCAATCAAGCGGGGCGATGGTGTTGAAGGCTAGGAGGGTGCAAGAACGTAGTCAAGCAAGCGAGGGAGCCGGTCATCTGGTGGATCGCCAGCGCAGAGAGAGCATGGCTTGAGCGGAGAGCATAATATATACATACAGTGAATCGAAAGGCTGAAGCCGGACTTTTCCACTCCAGCTACAGATGGAATACCTTTCCATTCTCCGTTGGTGTTTCTCCTATCCTTCTCGTACCCGGTCCTGCCCTTACTCTGCTTATCACCGTTTCCTCTGTCTCCTACCCACTGTTTGAGAATCTCCTACTGCCTTTCCTGACCCCCTCTCTCCTTGTCCCCGTGCTCTCTCTCTCTCTCCCCCCCCCTCCTCTCTGGCCCTTTTACACCATCCCTATCAATACAAACACGCCTTTCCACCTCTCACATCCCGCGTCTCAACCACCCCGAATCTCCATCCCCCCCCCCTCTTGCCTGGTTCTCTGCAGGCTTCGTAAGAAAAGAAGAAGAAGAAGACGCAGACGATGCGCCTTTTGTCCCAAAGGGCTCAGACGCCATGAATAGTTAGCGGATATCACGAGGACATGGAAATCTGAACAAGAGAAATTGTAGTGCTTTGGTTGGTTGATTGGTTGATTTGATATGATATTATCTGGTCTACTACGGATGCTGATGTGGTGTAGCCCGACTGCTGTGCCGGGATCATGATTCGGTTGGGGTAACCGGTTGCGGTTTGGGGTGGGGAGGGTACTCATATGTCCTTTTTGGGGGGAGGCTTTCTCGTGAGGTTTATGAAAAAAGGAAAAGAGAGCGTGCTAGCATTTGATTGGGGCAGGATGGGGCAGGATATGGGGAGGGATGGGCATGGGTGAATTGATCATGTATGAAACGTATACGCAAGACAAAATCAATCCAATCGCCTATTAATTCCCGCTCGCTATATCTGGTAACTGTGAACTCTTAAGGAGTGTGTATCCGTGTCGGCATGAAAATCAAGCCTCCCCTTGCTTCTTTGCGCTAATTGCTTGCTGTGCATCTCATGTCATCCCTGTTATTACTCTCTGTATCCCCGCTCCTATCCTGCGACGTGTCCATAAATGAGAAGAAAAAAACAAGCAACCAAAACAAGGAGGAACTAAAACAAAAATCAGACTAAGAAACTCGAAATCCAAGAAGAAACAACCGAGAAATGCCCATTGCTGTGTGCGCCACGCTATGCCAATGCTGTCCATACCTGCTGGAAGCTGATTACTGATGTTGAAAGAGATAAGAATTAAAGTGATTACTCCCCTTTTTCCTCTCTCAGCATAGACTAGCTGATCATCTAAGCTCTCGTACTCGTGGTCAAAACAGATGTTTTCATGGTCGTGGCAGCGGTACTGCTAATTGGCTGGCTTGTGATAGTTGGTGAGGTAATCGTGCCATTACCGGATCCACTAGTGGTCACTGTCGTACTTGTTGTCAAGCTCGTAAGTGGGAAGGGTGGTGCGCTGCCGTCACCGCTACCGCTGCCTGTGCCTGTGGGTCCAGGGACTGGGCTGGCCGTGCCAGAAGTTGTAGGGTATGGTGGCATATCATTTTTCGCAGATCCTGTCGGCTCTGGAGGTGGATTCATGGTTGGTTGTGCGGGGATAATTATGGTGACGATTGAGCTTGTTATATCTTGATAAGTTATTGTCTGACAGTTCTTGTCACAGTGAGGTGGGGCGGGGATGATGGGTTGCTGTGGTAGGAGGGAGTTGATATAGACAGTTGTTGTTTGTACGGGTTGCACAGGGCAGTTAGGGGGTGGTGTAGGGACTGGAACGTGTGGCGTGACAATCATGATGTTGGTTGGTGGTATAAGTTTGGTGATTGGATAGCATGTGGTCGTGGTGTAGGCCTGTGATGTGATATAGGTCGAGTAATATGTCTTGGTCCCAGACACAGAGACAGGATTTGAGTGAGGAGTGAGCGAGTACCGTGTCACTGTCTCGGTGGTAGTATAAGTGGTGGTCATAGTCGCGGTACCGGTATTCGTAATGGTGGTAACATCAGTAGCGGTTGAAGTGGATGTCGTGGTCTGGTTTTGTACTGGTATGGAGGGAGACGTTGTTGTGCTTGTGGAGAGACTATGTGTGGGAATGGATGTTGTGCTTGTGGAGAGACTATGTGTGGGAATGGATGTCGTGTTCGTCGACAACTGTAGTTGAGGTGCAGCAAGAGCTGGCACGGCTAGAGCTGCTACAAGGAAGGGTAGGAGCTGCATGTTCATGGAATGGACCGAGGACTTCTGTAGACAAATGAAATGCTGGTGCCAAAGAGACGGAGAAAAACGAGTGTAGAATATGAGAGAATGCAGTGCAAGACAGATAAGAGCAAGGAACAGTCAAGCGAGATGCGATAGACATTTATATCAAGTTCATGATTTGCAACTACAAATCACTGCCACATTCTTCCAACGAATCCTTCCTCACAGGGTTAAATGAATTCGTACGGCCGGAAGGCTGAATACGCAGCCTTACAGCATGGCAGTCGCCTTCTATGATCAGAAGTACTATGTCTGATGTCAATTATGATATTCTTGGAGACCAGGATGGTAGCCTAACCTTTAACACGCGTATGTTTTCGAAGTCAGCCACAACAGGGTAACATTGCAAGTGGATGGTTGGGAGCTGCAGTGGCGATAAGACGCATTGGAGTTGCAACGGAGTCGGAGTATTTCTGGCCTCCGGCCGTGATTAATCAGCTCACAAATCGGGGGGTGGTAGGATGGGGATGTTTCGTAGCCTTATACCGAGTACGACATACAATTTCAACGATTTACTACGTATTGCCACGCCATCACGAGTCTAACACTTATGTTGCACTTATGTTGCTCGTGGCTCTTACGCAGCTTGCTCTGTCAAAGCCTCACCTACAACTGGGTATAGCTGCCCTATATGACATTCTGAATGCATTGGCCGAAGCTTTGCATCCGAATATGCCCTGTTCTAGCATACTAGTACCACGGACACACCATGCTAGGAATAAGCTGCACTGTAAAGCTCCGTCTGCGAACATCTGCCCGTTGCTTATCAGAATGGACCCATTTCCCTCTATCTGCGGCAAAAGTCTTTCACAGCGAGTAGACAAACATAACTCTGAAGCACCCTTATGTTCCCTCAGGTAATGTACATTTTGGGAAGAAACCTGCTGCTAGCCCCGTTTATTCTCTATTCTCGTAACGTAGGACCGTATTTTGACTGCTTGCTCTGTACTCCTGCACTGACAGGTAGGCAAGTGAGGTTCAACTGCCCCGGAGGGCCCGGTTGCAACAATGTCTTAGTCGAAAATAGTGAAGAGCCCGGGTGGTTTGGGTTGGGCGAAATGATGAGAGTGCCTGTCGAGGTGGTCTGTGTAGCGGGTGAAAATCAGTGCTGTTGCAGTTTTCCATGATCCAGACGAAGTAGCACGGCTCCCCCACTAAACAAAGGTAACTGTCCGCTCAGGCGGTCCAGTGCCTTCGCCACTACTGCGAATGAGTAGTGGCCGACAGCTGTCGTATTCACTTTCTGCCGCGTAGGATTCGTATGCCATGAGTCCGAACCACTTCCTCCATGATAGTTCTAACCTGCTTACAGCCATCGACTCCCACTGCAAGCATAGCTTCCAATTTCTTACCATTCTGGCCAATTTGGATACGAGACTCCATGATAAGCACCGATACTTTATCCTCCTGGTGTTCACTGAGTCCCGCCACTGTGCCTACGGAAAGAAAGGGCAACTCAAGTTCCTCAGAGTTGTTGAGGTCGAGGATAGGATCGGAAGGTGTGATGCCATCTGTAGAGGTAATCATTCCGCTTGTGACTGCAGCAAGAATGGAGGGCATAGGGACCCCTGCATCAACGAGAGCTAGGCTAGCAGCATTGAGACAGGAAGCGAGAAGGGCACCGTCCAGACTCAGAACGTGCAAGGAAATTGTGATGGAGCTTCGGGGGTAGAGATGAGTAAAGAGATGTGCTTGGAACGCCGATGAGATTGTGGTCTGTAATTCCTGGACTCGCTTGTCGCCCTTCATACGTCTTCTCCGGTCGGTCTGCGCGAACGGTGCAACTGTGACTTCGGTCTCAATGAGGGCATTGTTTGTGTCACGCTGACCTCGTCTGGTCCATATGGATCAGTCCAATTCTGCGACAAGTGATGCATGGTCGACATACCCTTCTCTTGGACCGACGATGTTGCACACGACAACTGTATTACCCATAACGAATTGACTGCTCCCATCGGTGGAGGACTGGGTAGAGATTGAGGCAGAAATACGCCGGAGTTCGTTCCATCTTCTACCGTCTGAACGGAGAAGGGTCTGGCCATATGTTGATGCCGTATCAAGTGGCATATTGCCTTCGTTAAATAATCATATGCGCTTTGTACGATTGTTGATCTGATAGATGGGCCCGCAGCTAGACAACGCTTTGATTTCACATACTTTCCACGACAAGGTGTTCCGAATATTTCCAAAATACCGTAAATCAATACACACAAACGTAGAAACATACCTGAGCTCTTGCCCAGGAACCAAGCTTCACACACGTGACAACGCGAAGAACCTAACGCGCTTAAAGCTGGTGGTGCCTAAACTCCGTCACTTCTTTAAGACTCGGCCATACCATCACCCTTGGGTCTGGGTATACTCTACATGACCTGAGGATCATGGTATCTTACGACCTGGATGGCTCCGAAGCAGAGTCAGATATTTCCCATGATCTGCATGTACAAACTAAGGTCCCAGGCAAGATGTCTAGCACCGGTAACATATTGATTAGAAATGATGCTACCAGCCATAAAAAGAATAAAGCCATAGATAGTCTCATAGCAGAAGTGCACGAATTAGACACTTCCGAATCTTCAGGTATCGGTGAAGCTGTTGACCTTGATCAATACGGCGAAAACGAGCCGCCTCGAAAAAGGCGACCCTTGCTACCCACCCAACCAGAAAGGCTTGAATGGTCCGAGGATGACTCGGCTAACGATGGCGAAGCAACCTATAGGAGATTTCAGTCGAAGAAGTCCGATCACAGGAAACGCGCAATCAGGTCTACAAAAAAAGCAAAGGCAATCGAGGCGCAGAATCATCAGCGGGCGGGCGGGAAGACTTCGACTGGAGTAGGCAAGCGTACGTCGAAGACGAAGAAGGCATCAGGATCGACGGAGCAAGGCGGTGGAGATGGTACTTCAGATGATGAACTCATGGAGTGGACTGTTCCAGATTATCTAAAAGAGCGACGGGCGCAGTTTGATGCGAGAGCAGAGAAATTCAAAGCAGGCGGCCTAAAGCTACCGCCAGCATACGATGAAGTTCACTTCTCCGATGACGAGCGGCTTGAGAGACTCACGGAACGGCCACAATTTCCTACCGACCCACCTGCCAAGTATGAGGATATTCATCTTCCATATTCCTTGGGTTTGGTCCCAGCACCCATCGCTCAGTGGCTTCGGGATTACCAGGTCCAAGGCGTTGAATTCCTTCATGAGCTTTTTGTCTACCAGAAAGGTGGCATCCTAGGTGATGATATGGGCCTCGGCAAAACTGTGCAGGTAATTGCCTTTCTGACTGCTGCCTATGGGAAGACCGGTGATGAAAGAGACGACAAAAGAATGCGCAAGATGAGGCGATCTCACAACCGGTGGTATCCACGTACCTTGATCATTTGCCCTGGAACGCTTATCTCAAATTGGCAGGATGAATTTCGTCGCTGGGGATGGTGGCATGTTGATGTTTATCATGGATCTGCTGACGTCAAAGATGCTGCAATAGCAGCTGCGCAATCTGGTCGAGCAGAAGTAATGATTACAACATATACCACCTACAGAATGAACAGGGATGTGATCAACATGATCGCATGGGACTGTTGTGTAGCTGACGAATGTCATGCTATCAAAGAGCGCAAATCTGAAACCACGTACGCACTCAACGAGGTTAACGCATTGTGTCGGATAGGCCTTACAGGTACTGCCATCCAAAACAAATATGAAGAGCTCTGGACCTTGCTCAACTGGACCAATCCTGGACGGTTTGGTCCGATCTCGACCTGGAAGGCGTCTATATGTGACCCACTAGAGCTAGGTCAAAGCCATGACGCCACAGTTTATCAATTGAGCAGGGCAAGAAAGACGGCCAAGAAGCTTGTGGAGAACCTACTGCCTCCGTTTTTTCTGCGCAGAATGAAGACACTGATCAAAGATCAGCTACCTAAAAAAAGTGACCGCGTGGTATTTTGTCCTTTAACTCAGACTCAAGCCGATGCTTACGAAAGATTCCTGGATGGTGATGTAGTGCGGTACATCAAGCAAAGCGCCGAGTTTTGTGACTGTGGTTCTGGCAAGAAGATGGGTTGGTGCTGTTATGCTTTACTTCCAGATGGGTCGAAGTGGCAGAACCATGTCTTTCCGGCGATATCAACCTTGCAGAAACTGAGTAATCATCTTGCTATTCTGATTCCCCAGAGCTCAGATTCCAACGACAAACAAGACAAGGATCTCGAATTACTTCGCACGTGCGTACCAGATCAGTGGCGCAAGCTGCACGCCGAAAGGGACTCAATCCTCCACTACTCGAATCCGGAATTCTGTGGTAAGTGGCGGATATTGAAGAAGTTGCTGAAGTTTTGGCATGGCGAGGGGAATAACAAAGTGCTGGTCTTCAGCCATTCCGTTCGATTATTGAAGATGCTGCAGATGCTCTTCAACCATACAAGTTACAGCGTTTCGTACCTTGATGGCAGCATGAAATATGGGGATAGGTACGCTGTTGTGACAGACTTTAACACCGATCCCAGCCAGTTTGTTTTCCTAATCTCGACACGTGCCGGAGGCGTGGGTCTGAATATTACTTCAGCCAACAAAGTCGTGGTGGTCGATCCAAACTGGAACCCTTCGTACGACCTTCAAGCGCAAGACCGAGCTTACCGGATAGGTCAGACGCGCGACGTCGAGGTCTTCCGGCTGGTGAGCCAAGGAACGCTTGAGGAGATTGTGTATGCGCGACAAATATACAAACAGCAGCAAGCGAACATCGGATATAATGCAACCACTGAGAGAAGATACTTCCAGGGCGTACGTGGTCGACAAGATCAGAAAGGCGAGATTTTCGGCCTTAACAACCTATTTGCTTACCAGAATGACAATGTTGTGCTAAGAGACATCGTAAACAAGACCAACATTGCCGAGAGCAAGGCAGACCTACGCATTGCAAGCCTTGAGCTGGATGGTGACAAGGATGAGGACGTGAAAAAGGATATTGATGCCGATGATGATGACCCGTTAGATGCTTCTTTCAAGACCGAAGACGATAACGAAGAGGCTGCTATGTCACAGCTTGCAGCCATGATCACAAAGGATGGATCTAAGCCAAAGAAGAGAAATCGATCTTCCAAATCTGAGTTATCGAAGAGTGCAAAGCATGATCCCGTGCAAGCGATCCTTTCTTCCGCCGGCGTACAGTACACGCATGAAAATAGCGAGGTCATTGGCAGCTCCAAAGTAGAAGCAGATCTTTCCAAGCGGGCTGAAGAAGCAGCAGAAGGTGGCAGCACACAAGAACAGTCAGCACGGGTCTTTATGGTAGACAGCCAGTCACAAGCATCGAGGAATGGGAAGTCGAACGTGACTTGCCAAACAAATGGCATCACATATCAATACAGACCTCCCGAAGCAGTCAAGAAGCGACAATTCTGCTCCATGGCCAGATGGGCAGGGTACAAGGATGCAGTAGAATTTGCATTGGTCGTAGAAGGGTGGACGCAAGAGGAAAGAAGGACTTGTCTCGACCGGTTCTATGATTGGCGCAGGGAGGTTTTAGCTGGTGAGGGAGACATCGAGGAAGAAGAGAAGAATTTGGTGGAGCTGGTTGCTCTAGAAGATGCTGAACAAGCGAGTGACGAAGACGATGAATTATGAGAGTTTTGCATGCGTATGGACATTCTCAAACAATATCCTGAAGAGATCAATAGTTAGCTAATTCATTCGGCTGGGTGAATGCCATTTGATGTTCCGCAACGAGTACCTGTCGACTCGATCTATGGCAAGTAATCGTGCGTGAACATAATGGCGAGATGCCGGAACGCTAATACCCTTGTTCAATGATTGGATCGTGGTATAACCTTGATGCAGGCATACGCATAAGCATCGTCACCATCGTCAGCAGCTGTACAAGCTAGGACGTGGACTGTTGTCATTGTTCCTGCCATTTCAAAACATCATGATATTTTGTGGTTGAGGATCTACATTTGCTTAAAACAACGTCTGACTCCGTAACTTATCATGAGATGCGTTCGGAGAGTCAACTTTGAGTATCCAATTCATACGGCGTCAAGTTCGGCGCTCGGCGTTCAGACACGCTGATGTCCTGCCCTACCGCTAGCTGAAGGATCAGAATTGTCTATTTAAGACTTTCGATAAAAGACTTTGGTGTCCAATAAACTTGGACAGTAATCAGAAAGGTAAATCATCTTCGTGGCACTAAAAATAGTACCTCATCACTTAGAGAAAGTGCCTGAAGGCTTAGCTTGATCGTAGTGACAGCGAGAAATTCGGGAAAGTGGTAACGATTAGGTAGCAACCAATATACCCAACCCCGAGCGCTAACCCCGAGCGCCGAGCTTCAGGTGCATGCCAGATAACGGTACTGCTTAAGTAGAAGGGGGTCTGTCTCCGTACCATGTCTGTTAAGTGGGGACACTGTTGAACCAGACTTAATCCACCCAATTTTTTCCATAGCGCTCTAGCCTGGTATATGGGCAATTTTCCAAGCGCAAATCAAAGTCGCAGGGGCAGGTAATAACAACCAAAAACTTGTTTTCAAGCCTGAGCAGAGCTGCATTCTCTCCCATACCGTTGCGCGAATACATCTCGTCTTTCCTCTGCTGTGTTAATAGATGTGATCGGTTTGGCCGCAGTCACATCGCAAGCTCGAGATTTTGAAACATAGCATATCATCTGCGGTATGTTAACATTGCGGCTGCCATTGACCGCACCTGTCCTAAATTTGCACTCACCTCCCTCAATATTTGGAACTAACAACACAACGGAAAACAATCAGACTGCAAGCTAAGGGTTTCGTTTTCTAGGGAAGAGTATTTCATTTGCATCAAGCCATGAGAAGGTAGACCGTCTGGACCTGCGCACTCCTTTGACCGCTACTCTTTACGTCACTCCTGCGAACAACACCTGTGGTCACTCAATATGAGAGGATCCGCCCTGCTGCCGAAACAGCTGCGGGCCCTGGGCGCCACAAACAAAGATGGACGTCCATCCTGGCTCAATAGTACAATAACTGCGAACTTGCTATCTGCTTCTCATCAAGCATGCATGCACCCAATTCATACCATTGTGGTCATTGCTTTGTTGGCAAGCACATCCTACGTTGGTCTGTTGCAGCAAAGCTTGTTCGAGACTGCAGGACCGACAAGTTATCTACAAGGCTACGTTGATGTGGACTCTCTGCTTGAGGGCGGAAGGACACTTGAGCTTAGCAGTCGTACCTCTTGGAGGTGGCAGTCTAACGATAGTTTTTCGCCCCAGCAGATTAACAATGTGGGCATTATCAGTGTCTAATTGGTCAATACTGACTGACATATTACAGGCCTCGCAGCACCTAGCTCTAACAACCTTCACCTTCCCAGACTCCTTATCGTCGTCTGCTCAATTGGCTCCGCTAGCGGAGGCGGTACCCATTCCAGCAAACATCTCCGCAAAAAGGATACCCTCGACGCCCAATGTACTCTCAGCAATATCCCAGGACTCTTCCTTGTCCTTTTCCATTCCATATGCCGAAGCGTCAGACTTCCTCAAAGCTGTTCAGGAGATTCCAGGAAGATCGAAAACCAGCAATGGTAAAGAAGACAAAATATGGATCATGAAGGCTGCTCGTTTCAGTGGTCATGGTTCTCGAAGAACATATAGAGCATGGTTAAGCGACGGGTGGAGTTCTTTTGTTGATCTCGTCAAGGTATGCATCTTATTCTCAACCGGGGGTCTTCTACTGATGATGTCAAGCATGCTGAGACTTTAGATATCATAATCATGGCGTTGGGTTACCTTTCCATGCATCTGACTTTCATTTCCTTGTTTCTGTCGATGAAACGGCTGGGCTCTAACTGCTGGCTGGCCACCTCTGTGCTACTATCGAGCCTTTTCGCCTTTTTGTTCGGTCTCCTGATTACCACAAAACTTGGCGTTTCCATCAACATGGTCCTGCTGTCCGAAGGACTGCCATTTCTAGTTGTGACCATCGGCTTCGAGAAATCGATCATTCTCACAAAAGCAGTCCTATCTGCATCATTTGACTCACGGAAAAAGCCGTCCACGAACGATGCCGCAAATGGTCATGTCTGGGGAGCACCACCAGCTCAGTCCCCACCTTCGATTCAAGATGCGATTCAAACGGCAGTAAAGGAGAATGGATTTGAGATAGTACGCGATTATGCAATAGAGATTGCAATCCTGGTGGCAGGTGCGGCTTCGGGTGTACAGGGTGGGCTGCGACAATTCTGCTTTTTAGCAGCATGGATCCTCTTGTTCGACTGCCTCCTACTTTTCACCTTCTACACCACTATCCTTTGCATTAAGCTTGAGATAAACCGCATTAAACGACACGTTGCGCTTCGCAAGGCGCTGGAGGAGGATGGCATTAACCGACAAGTGGCCGAGAAAGTAGCTACCAGCAATGACTGGCCAAGTGGGACCCCTGACGCATCAGCTGCCTTTAATATATTTGGGAAAAAGGTTCGCGCGAGCAGTGTTCCGAAGTTTAAGATATGGATGGTCACCGGATTCGTGCTGATCAACGTCTTTAACTTGTGCACAATACCATTCAGGAACGAGAAGAGTTTCAAAGCGTCCAAAGGATCAGTGTCGCATGTGTTGGCTCCTGCTCCAATTGACCCGTTCAAGGTTGCAGAAAATGGGTTGGATTCTATCTACGTCTCCGCGAAGAGCCAGGGGCTGGAGACGTTCGTGACAGTCCTGCCACCCATCAAATACGAGCTTGAATACCCGTCGATCCATTACTACGAGGACGAGGACGAAATGGGACTTTTTGACATCGAATACACCGATCAGTTCCTGAATGCTGTTGGTGGCAGGGTCATCGAAGGCGTACTCAAAAGCTTGGAAGACCCTGTTCTAAGCAAATGGATCCTCATTGCACTGACAATGAGCCTGATCTTGAACTGGTTTCTCTTTAATGCTGCTAGGTGGAGTATCAAAGAACCACAATCTGCAAAACGAACGCCTCCCATTCAGGCCCCGCCTCGACCCCAACATATCCGCAAGCCGCTTCCGGCTACAGGAGTTAGTGGGTCAGAACGCTCAACAGCTGAATGTGAACAAATGCTTAAGGACAAGAAAGCCCCATATCTCACTGATGAGGAGCTCATAGAACTCTCACTTCGAGGAAAGATTCCTGGCTACGCGATCGAGAAAACCATGGAAGATGAGGAATTGATGACTCGTCTCGAATCTTTCACAAGGGCCGTCAAGATCAGGCGGGCCGTCGTCTCAAGAACACCAGCTACCAGTGAGATGACTCATCTACTCGAAAGCTCTAAAACTCCATACAAGGACTTTAACTATGGTCTTGTTCATGGCGCATGTTGTGAAAATGTCATCGGCTATCTCCCGTTACCACTTGGTGTTGCCGGCCCTCTCGTGATAGACGGCCAAAGCTACTTTCTTCCGATGGCCACTACAGAAGGTGTGCTCGTTGCCAGCACGAGCAGAGGTTGCAAGGCAATTAATTCTGGGGGCGGTGCCGTCACTGTAATTACAGGCGATGGGATGACACGAGGCCCCTGCGTAGGTTTTCCGACACTGGCCAGAGCTGGCGCGGCGAAGATCTGGCTTGACTCTGAAGAAGGTCAGAAAGTGATGAAGAATGCTTTCAACTCGACAAGTCGCTTTGCAAGACTACAAAGCATGAAAACAGCACTTGCAGGGACATACCTGTATATCAGATTTAAGACGACAACTGGAGATGCCATGGGCATGAACATGATCAGCAAGGGGGTGGAGAAGGCTTTACACATAATGTCGACGGAGGCAGGATTTGATGACATGTCTATCATCTCGGTATCGGGCAACTTCTGCACCGACAAAAAGCCCGCTGCGATCAACTGGATTGACGGGAGAGGCAAATCCGTCGTAGCAGAAGCCATCATACCAGGGCACGTCGTTCGAAGCGTCCTCAAAAGTGACGTGAATGCTCTGGTCGAACTCAACACAGCCAAAAATTTGATTGGCAGTGCCATGGCAGGCAGTATTGGCGGGTTCAATGCGCATGCTTCCAACATTATCACAGCAATGTTTCTTGCCACTGGTCAGGATCCTGCTCAAAATGTGGAGAGCAGTAATTGTATCACCATCATGAAGAAGTGAGTCCACTCGCTTAAACTCTCCTATTTACTTCACCACTGACATGTTTCACTCCTAGCAACAACGACAACCTCCAAATATCTGTTTCCATGCCCTCAATCGAAGTGGGCACTATCGGCGGCGGTACCATCCTTGAGGCCCAATCCAGCATGCTCGACCTTCTCGGTGTCCGTGGCGCGCATCCAACTACTCCGGGAGAGAATGCCCGCAAGCTCGCCCGGATTATGGGTGCCGCCGTGCTAGCTGGCGAACTGAGTCTCTGCTCGGCGCTTGCGGCGGGGCATCTTGTGAAAGCGCATATGGCGCATAACAGAAGTCAGGCACCTACACCGATGAGGGCTACGACTCCAGTCAGTGCGGCGGTGGAGCCGTATATTCGTGCCACGAGGGAGGTGGCTTCACCAGGTTTGGCGCTGACTTCCGGAAATGCAGGGCTGGGTTTGAAGATGACGGCTGCGAGATGAGGCGATGTAGTCATGTATCTGATACATTGGCAGAGCGATGAAACGTGGAGATAAAAGTAGAGGGGGGTTCTACATACATCTCTTTTACATGGCGTTTGCTTCCTGATCAAGCGTGTAGCGGCACTACCAAGATACATAGAGGCTAAAAATCTTTCTATCACTTCTCGCGGCCCGCACATATTACCTATCTATGTGATCTTCGGCTTCGGCTTCGGAATTGTGTTCTCCCAACATATATTCCAGCCAGGCCACACTAAATCTAACCCAACTTCTTCAGGTAGGTACCTAGTTGGAACACCTTTGAGAACGAATTCTAATGAAAATACGTGCCACGACACAAGAGGAAAAAGCTGGCACTTGCCGTCAGTCAGCCTGACTGACTAGTCCTTAAAATACAGTACGAGACTATCTTTCTCACCTGTAGAAAAAACCGCGGGGGACAAAACTTTCAATATATATATATATATATTCCCGACGACGTTGGGGAAAGTGATCTAGCTTTCCGTTTCTCCAAGGACGTTTCTCTGTACAAGGACTGATTGGGTATGGAAACTAAAATTATTTAGTATTTGATGCTCAGTCATGCGCGCTCTTTCGGCGTCGTATCAAGCTTGTATTGACAGCACCTGATCCGATCTGATCTGATATCTTTACTAGTTAGTTAGAAGACCCTTGGAAAATAACGTCTCAACTCGATCTGCTGCATCTTAGGCAGGCGACGATGTGATATGCAGCCGAGTTCTTCTACCTAACCAAGTTAGAAGTATGTGCCCTGCATTCTGCGGAGTTGGGGGTACGGGATGATATGTGGAATGGAAGCTTACATAAATAACGCCGAGAGAGCGAGTCTCGGAGAATCAGACACTTCGTTTCCTGCGTTCGGGTGGATAACTTGGGTTTTCGCCACCATCATACTTTCGATTTGAAGCTACGGTCTTGACTGTACTCATAGAGGGAGGGAGAGGGGTATGGTGGATTAAGGCAATAGATAGATAGATGGGGAGAGGGATAGGCCAGCTCCACAGATGATGTGGCAGATGTGAATCCTCTTGGCTCGACCGCATTGACTGACCGACACCAGACACCACGACAAGATTTCTACCTCACTGCACTTTGATTTCGACTTCTCGTCCGGGAGTGTTTTGCGATTAGCTTTACTCCATAGCTGCTCTGGGCTACCCTTTGCGCGGTCTTCCATCTGTAGATAAGCGGGCAATGCTGCTGACCTGAGTTCTTATAGGCCGTATTATGCTTGCAGCCTACCAGCTAGGTGAAGGGGGCGCTTGATGATTCATGTGACTGAGGGTGGAGCGAGGGAACACGAGATTGAATTGTGGGGTGCTATTATGTAATAGAATGGAACGGGAAGATGCGAACGAAAGAGTCTCTGGGCCGTGACGGCACGAATGTCCTCACAGACTGGGTATGCTGGGCCTTGTAGATAGGGAGCACGTGAGGCAGAAGGAGAAGGAGGAGGAGAATAGGATGGGACTGCTGACCACCCACCTGCCTAATAATGCGAGGTAACGGATATAGAGGTATAACAAAAGCAGTATTCCTGACATGCTGGCCGTGGTGATAAGGTGGGACGCAGCCATGTAAGCAGGGAAGGATAGAAGAAAATGCACGGATCGGAGAAGGAAGGAGGCCAAGTATGGATTTGGCAATCCTGGACAGATTGATCGCCCGCGTAGAGAAGAACGAATGAGGAGGATGATTTCTGACCCCGATATGATGCGAATTTTTTTAAGGAGTGGTCGATAGCAGAGGGAAGAGTAGATTCAGAGGTCCTGACAATCCGAACTCCAAGCAGGCTAATTTCCAAATACCGATCTGGGGTTAGAAGACTCCGCCAAGAGAGAAAGCTCGAAATTGAACGCACAAGTAGAAGATGGCGAGTATGGCCCAAGACACAGGGTTTGACTGCCATATGCGTCTTCAGCAGAGAAGCCTTTTGGTGCCACTTCCGCAAGTCACTACTGTATCATGAGGGACCCTGCTCATCTTCCTCCGGCATCTCTCCACAGTCCACGATTTTTGGCTTGGAACCACCCTGTACAGCGCCTAATTCATCGCCAAGACTCTCAAGCTCTTTCACGACGTCCATGCTGCCATCTGTCTTGTCCACCTCGCCAAAAACAACGTGCTTGCCATCCAGCCAAGATGTCGGTACAGTGGTAATGAAGAATTGAGATCCATTCCTATAAAGGGACTTGTGTCATTAAAACATATGCAGACCGCAGATAAAAAGCTGGATAGAGTTGTTTGCTTTGAGACAGAGTGGATCTTACGTGTTGGGTCCAGCGTTGGCCATTGACAGTAGACCAGGCCCTGTGTGACGCTTCTTAAAGTTTTCATCGGGGAACTTGTTCCCATATATAGATTTGCCACCAGTACCCTTTACAGCAACACATGTCAGCGGGCAATTCCCATAGATTTATCGGCACCCGGTGTCGGTGTTCTACTTCTTCGGCGAGAAGGGCCAGCAAATACTGCCACTCACGTTGTTCCGAGTGAAGTCTCCCCCTTGTATCATGAATCCGGGAATTATTCGGTGAAATGTGCTGTCCTTGTATCCAAAGCCATGTTGACCGGTACATAGCTCACGAAAATTCCTAGCGGTTTTCGGAACGACATCGTCGTACAGGTGCATTTTGATCCGACCAGATTTTTCTAGGAGCCAGACCGATTGTTAGCCAAGAGTTCCTAGAATGATCTTGGGTGGAATATGGAATGACGAGTAGAAATAAGGCTTGTACGACATGCAGTAACGCTAGAGCCATACCTTTCCCGGCGTACTTAACGTCAAAGAAAACCGGAGGGCCCATATCTGCCGATGAAGACCTAAAAGCTCGACGATTCAAGCAGGATATCGAGGGAGTGAGAAATCGATTGTTTATTGCGGGGCGAGTGGATTTCAAAAATGTCGATAGAGGGGCATTGGAAAAGGCGGGGCAGCTTCGAAGGGGGAGGGGCATCATGGCTGGGGGACTTTGCGCCTGGTGTGGTGTGGGGAAAGGGTCTCAACGGAAGGGAGCTGCGGGTACCAAGTTAGTTCCATCCCTGAACATATCGTACCAGTCGATGACGACTATGTGTCAGACTGTACACCAAGTGGCTCGTGTTGAGGTAGTTCGGGCTGGACGGGAGCTGACCTGGAAAGAGGGAGGGTTGGGGTAGGCAGTCGGCCAAGGGAGTCGGCCAAGGGATGGTACGGGAGGCGACAAGTGCAGCTTCGGAAGGAGATTCAAGCTGCTGTTCAGGGGCGAAGCAGAGCTGCAGACGGGAGAGAAGAGGTATACGGATCAGCCAGGATTAAGACAGTTTGCGGGAGATACCAGAGCAAACTTGTAACTAAGACGAGAGATGGAGAAGATGCGTGATGACGCCGCTGATGCAGAAGCGATGTGATCAATACATAGTTTGCAGCTTGAAAAAAACATGAAGCAGAAAGACGGAAAGCATCGGTACAAACTATGCCAAGTACCGATGCGTCACTGGGCGCTCTACTGAGTCAGTTGTAACTTGTACGTGGTAGTAAGCGACTTTTTATTACTCGGTAAAGACTGTAGGGGATAATCTGCATTTAGACCTCAATGTCAATCAACTAACGTCTCCCACTTATTTGGTCAAGGCGCCTCCCACGCAAACTCGTCAGCACACAGCTCTCCGAACCTGGTTGCGTGTCCTCTTTCTGCTAAATGTCGCTCATGGACAGCTTGCCCATAGAGCCCTTTACCACTTCAGACAGTATCTTCAGATAGCTGTCATCTTTGTCTTGATTTTAGGCTACCAGACCTTGACCTCTATCCACATATGTAAAGATCTCAAGACGCCCCTGCTACTAGTAGGAAACCGGTCTTCACAACTGGCCAAGAGAGTGCTTTGTTGATGTTGAGTCAAGCGCGACCCGCGACCTGTGGCCTGTGAAGCGTCCTTGTAATCAGCCGTGTGCATCGCGTCAGGTCACCCAAAAGTTTCTTGTCTTCATGCCACTTCTCAAAAGCAGGTGCTTTTGGTAGGTAATTGTGGACGTTTCACAGGACATTCGGCAATCTGTGTACCCTGCCCTGAACTTGACAGGGCTATGTCCATGCTGTTGGACTTCCGTCTGGATCTAGGATGCTAGGTCATCGAAGATGTTCGTATCCTATAGCATCAAATCGTGCTGGCTGTTTTCAAAAGTGCTTCTAGGACGCGGATTTGCACGATGATTTCGGAAAGGAGACCTCGAAGTAAGAAAGTTTTGTACCCTAACTCCTCTACGGAAAGCTACTTCGAGTGGCGCGAAGTTTACGCTCTGATTGAGGGTCTCATACACATTGTGGGGAGACGACTTTGCGTGATACATAGTATATGCCGATTCTGGCAGCGGTTTCCTGCCAGCCACCAATACACTCATTGAATGCTTCAGAGGATAGAGTTTCCCTGGTTCAGCACAGCGCGATGAGGTGCACTTCCAGGATCAACACAAGTTCTTTTTCGAGCTGAGACCGCTCGAAGACTAGGTTCTGGACCTACATAAGAGTCGGCACTATCTTATGAGTCTGCTAAATTGGGTTAGAGAAACATTCAGAAGGAATGGAAAAACGCTGTCTTCAGTGACTTCTAACATCAGAATCCAACCCAGGCACGATGTGACAAGACAATATCCCAATTGCCCGAAATGCCATTGAACCAAAGCCAGGCATATCGCACACCGATCGTTCAATATGCACTGTCCCTAAAGAGCGGAGCAGACCCTGGGCTAGAAGATTGTTACGGAAATGCCACTAATGCAGCTTGATCACACCTCAAGTGCGAAGTACCAAAACTGCCCATCGGGACCCAACGTCATGACTCCTCAAATGGAACCGATTGGGCCATCTCCAGATCCTTCGGCACCATTGCCTGCTTTCTCTCTGAGTGGGGTGCAAGCATGGGAAGGCAGGCATGTTTACTCGGGCCGCTTCTAGTGGCCTTGCAGAAAGCTCGGATACAGCACTTTATACGTGTGCCGCCAAACCTGCTGAGCCGCGCCTGGTTGTACAACTATACTCCAAGCAGTTGTGGCACCGCATAAGCAGTGTCACCCCGGTTGCACTTGTTGATTCATGCAACCGAGTTGCTGTCTCCCACATTACCAGATCCTTTCAATTTCCACGATCTTTCTTGGACGCAACGGGCTCGTCATATATCGGGCTACTGTGCCCAATGCTGGGGCCTCCCATCGGGTACAACACAGCGCCATGTTCATCCATTCACTCGTACTGCTTGGGATGACATACCCTGGAGCGCGGTTGCCCAGAGATACCAGCCAGCAACCTTGCTTCATCAATATCTATTGAGCCATTGTTGAACGCTGAAGTGCTATGGGAGGGCGTGACCGAGTCCGAATAATTGTTGGGAAGAGCCCTGAAAATTCTGCTCGGCCTCAAGGGCGTAATAGGTCAGACCCGCAAGTCTTGAGCGCTGCAAGCCGCGCCGTGGCGACGCCAGAATCGGCTGAGGAAAAACGAACCGCGCTCTGCAGTTGGCGATCGAGAAACATCTCAACAAGTTTCCGATTACCGGAGAAGAATCCTTCCGCGAGGCTTCCAAAGGGCGTGACGGAGCAACGCCTGCTGAACAAGATCAAGTCCTTCGATGCCAATCACAAAAGGAGTTCCTGGTTCCGGCCCTCAGGCAGAAGCCGTCTCGAGATTTCTCGGTCTTCTCGACTGGTGCATGGCTAGTCTTTCGACCGGAATACGTAGTATACAGGAGAGAAACCCTTTCGCTTTCAATTTCTCCCGAATCTCCCGCCCCTGCTCTCGCCCATTTCGTGTGTTGTCTAGTTTTTCCCCTTCTTCTTTCTTTCTTTTCACCGACTGAAAAACGAAATGCGTGCTTACCTCTCGACGCTGCACTGCCACCGGATCGTTCCAGAATAGCTATCGATATCGATATCAATATAAATATCAGTTCCAAGTTTAATATCCATGTCCATCTCCAATAGCCGCTTCTTGCACAATCTTCAGTTTCAATATCAATTCCAATTCCAGCGTCGATGTTGAGAAGGGTTCAGGCCGCATCGTATAGACTAGACTAGACTAGACCACACCAGAGAGCGCTGAGTTGGGCATCGGTAAGTTGGAGGGGGAAGCGCCGAGCCGAATTCTGCGACCTAAGCTGGTAATAGTAGGTCATGTTATGTTAGACGATTTAAGATGAATCCTTTCCCATTCATCGACTGTCTAACCGAATTTTGTTCTCGGCATGTTGAACATTGAACGCTGTGTCCTTATGGGCTCTTTCCATCACACGGACTAGTCTAGTCATAGCTCTGTGGCTAAAGGTACCTGCGCAACATGATTACCGTCTTTAGGTGGAAAGGGATCGAGATAGGAGGCCCTCAACGACTGACCACGGCTCAGACCTGGATCGAAGGCTCCTCTTCTACAGCTCTCTCCTTTCCTTTTCTTTCACCTCCAATTGCAGCAGAGCTCGCTTCGGTCATCTTGGCATTCTTCTCGGCGTCGCCGGAGCACTCTCCTATCTCTCCACCACCATCTCCGTCAGCTTTGTCCTCTGCCTTCCCCTTCTCCTCCTTTTCCTTCCCCTCCTCCTCTTCGTTCTTCCTTGCTTCCTCTTCCTCCGCAGCAACCCTTTCCCTCTCAATTCTCTCCCTCTCCACCCGCTCAGCCTCCCTCCTTGCCTCCTCCCGAACCCTAACATGCCGCTCCCCCACTCCCGGAATCAAACTCGCAACAAACAGCCCTATTGCTCTCTCCGCTCTCTGCAAAGAATCCCACAGCATATCATTCGGCTGGCGTTGTCTATGTTCCTCAACCAACCTTGCGGCCGTGGCAGTTGGATCAGGCTCGCCCTGTCTCCTCACGCCTTCCTCAGGTCTCGTGGTCTCGGCGGCAGGTCCTCCTTCTCGTAGTTGCGCTTCATTTTGCCGCCTCCCAAGCACCGCTGGAGGCGGCATAGCTGGGACGGGTATCGCAGGCGGCTGCACAAGCCCATCGACCTGCTCCTGTAGCCTCGCCGCAAAGCCTCTAAAAACAGTGGTAGAAGGCATAATAGCAACGAGCGCAGCGGCAAAGATACAGCCCCATCGGAACCACGTGCCTGGTTCGGTAAACATGAAGATAACAAAGTAGAGCTTGACGAAGGTCCAGACTCGACTCATGATGGTGCGGAGGGCTTCGTTGTTGGCGTCGGCATCGGCGTTGCCGTCCGCACCGGCTGCAGCTTGTCGTGCGGCGTTGCGGGCTCGAACGACGGCTTCGAGCGCTTGCTGGGGCTGGGCGTTGGCAACGGCGGGGTCTAGCACTGGGAGCGCGGGAATGTTGGCGGGGTTTTGTGGTCGGATATGCCCGCTCGGGGTTTGTTGGAATCTTAGACCTTCTCGAGGACGAGTAATCCGGGTTGATGGCTGAGTGGTGAGTGGCGCACTGGTGAAGAGACCGTGGCCTGGTGCGAAAACAAGAGCTTGGGGGCCGTTTGGGCTGGAAAGGAGCCATGCGGTAGTGGTAGTAGAGGCAGTGGGCCGGTTGAAATCGGGAACAGGGGGTTGATAGACGGGTGGCTGAGGAACGAAGCTTGACATGGTAGACAGAGGATCTTGTCGCTCACCATGATGAAATGATGGAGGAAATGGAAGAGGCTGATTGCGGTGTTGATGTAATCCAGTTGGAAGTGGCTGTGGGCCAGAAGCGGTGGAGGCATGGCTTGGGCGTTCAGCATGTTGAGAGGCGTCAGTACGATCGGCAGCTGGGACCGGAGTAGACTGCCTGGAGATCTGGAAGGTCGTCTCATTCACGACAACACGCGTTCTCTGACCATCTGGTCCCACGCTTTCATGGACTCTAGTAGTTATTGGTCCAAGTGGTGCGGAAGCGGTTTGACCAAATGGCAATCCCGATGGCGTTCCATTTACGGCTGGATTATGAATGCCATGCATTCCTGCGTGGGCCCTGATTTGCTGCTGTTGCATGATTGCAGCTTGGAAAGCTTGCATATTGCCAGCTGATGGGGGCAAAGGAGGCATTTGAGGTGGCTGATGTTGTGGATGTCTATGCCCTTGGCCTTGAGCCTGTCCTTGAGCCATCAAACTTGTTATTGCGATCTGCTGTTGAAGCTGATTCAACTGATGTTGCAGCATAGCTTGCGCCGCATGGGCTTGTGCCATGACCGGATGTACGGGTAAATGGCCACGTGGCTGATGATCGTGGTGATGGTCATGGTGATGAGCATGATGATGGCCGTGGTGATGATCGTGATGTTGTGGGTGAGGAGCGGCAGATGGGAGTTGTGAACTTGGAGGGGCGGTTGACCTGTGCTGGGAAACATGGTTCTGAGATGTAGGTGGGGTTCCAGAGGGCATTGAGCCGGGCGCAGGCGAGATGACCAGGTGAAAAGTGTAGGTTGGGCTCTCATCGGTGGAAGCATTCAGCTATTTCGCTGTTAGTACCTGATCACACCTGATAATGACTGGCCGGGGAGCAAACGCTGACCTGGGATTGTAAGACTTGACGAAGCGTGGTCTCCATGTCCAATAGTGGCCTACCACGGTAGATCAACCTCTGTCGTTCCGGAGGAGCTGGCGTGATCATTGAGTGCTGAATCCGTGATTTGAGGCGTGAGATTTTGGTGTCGAGAGGGATGCTTGGAAAAGTGATTCTCCCACCACTGACCTCAACAGAGGGCGAAAGTACATGTAGAACAATGGTATCAAGAGGCATATCTGAGCTGCCAGATTGCTCCGCAAGAGGTGGGCCTGGTGTAGCGGCATTTGAGGATGCCATCTCGTCAAACAGCTCAAGGTGAAGATAGAGACGAGCTCGGTGGCTAATGAGCGTAGTGGTGCTAGGAATATGTAACTATGGAGTGCTTGATGGGTTCCAGGTTCGAGAGCCCAGAGCCATGGACAAGTAATCGGAGACCGATATGCAAGGCAAGCGATTCCGAGGTGGTAGGTGGTAGAAGTAGCATGTACAAGTCTGTTGATACAGTGTTGTACGTTGTACATTCATGTAATTAAGTTAGAGCTGAGGTGTCCAAGAAGTAAAGCTTGGCATCTGCCTTCTCCAACAAACTCTCCCCCTGCACGTCATGCTATGGGCGGTCTCCGCATTCTTCCATCTTTTACATTTTACATTTTACATTTTACTATTTACTTTCACCGCCAGGCATATCAACAAGGAGAGCGATCATGAGAGAGAGCAGATTCAAGACAAGGAACAGGCGAGGACAATGATCGCCTCAAGAACTGGCCGGTGTTGTCTCCGCCGGCGGATCACATCCGGCTTTCCAGATGCGCCTCTCCCCCCCGGGGCGCATTTCGACTCCTCCCCCACAGCACCATTCGTAAGACGCCAGTGTTTACGATCTCGAACGTTCAAGTCTTCCCGATGCCTACGAGAGCAGGAGAAAGAGCAGAGCAATGAATCATTTAGGAGACGGCTAGGCAAGGCATGGCGGGCAACCAAGATAGTATGGTATCCCATCCCCGTGGGCTTGGGGATTGGCTTTCTGGGATTCGCCCAGTTCTGGAGAGTGCGTGCCCGGGAAAGAGAGAGAGAGAAGAATGCGATCCTAGCCGCGGAAAGCGAAGGAGGTGACAGTGGAGACGGCAGAGGAAAGAGACCTCGAAAGCGAGAGCGAATACGACCTTCGGGGCCCTGGCAAGTCCAGGTCATGTCAACACTGCCACTCAAGGCAGTCTCGAGACTATGGGGTCGCTTCAACGAATTAACAATACCATACTACCTCCGCGTGCCGGGCTTCAAGCTGTATGGATGGATATTCGGGGTCAACCTCGACGAGGTGGCCGAGCCCGATCTCCACGTCTATACAAATCTCGCTTCGTTCTTCTACCGCACCCTCAGACCGGGCGTCAGACCCCTCGATCCCAACCCTAACGCCATCCTCTCCCCGGCAGACGGCCGAGTCCTCTCTTTTGGCACCATCGAACAAGGCGAAGTCGAACAAGTCAAAGGCATGACCTACAGCCTGGACGCACTCCTGGGCAAGACACCGCCCGGCACCTCCCCTAATCCCTCCTTACCATCCAACATCTTCTCCCCGTCCTCCAACTCGGATCTCGCCCAATCCAAGCCCACCGACGACCCCACCGCGGACAACGTGAGCGCGGACCAAGAATTCGCCAACGTCAACGGCATCTCCTACACCCTCCCCAGCCTCCTCTCAGGCCCACACGACGAAGCCCACGCCTCCCCCGCAACGCCCCCCTCCGACGCCTCCACCACTCCGCGTCCCTCCTCCGAAGCCGAAGTCCGCGCCGACCTCGCCCTATCCCCCAAAAACCAACAGCCTTGGTGGTCCCCTTTCTCCACCAGCACCCAACCAACCCAACTCTACTACCTCGTGGTCTACCTCGCGCCAGGCGACTACCACCGCTTCCACTCGCCCGTCCCCTGGGTCTGCACCACGCGGCGCCACTTCTCCGGCGAACTCTACAGCGTGTCGCCCTACCTCCAACGCACGCTCCCGGGCCTCTTCACCCTCAACGAGCGTGTCGTCCTGCTCGGCCGATGGAAATACGGTTTCTTCTCCTATACGCCCGTCGGCGCCACCAACGTCGGGAGCATCAAGATCAACTTCGACCGCGAGCTGCGCACCAACAGTCTGGTGGTGGATACCGAAGCCGATCGCATGGCCGCCGCC